GTCGCGAGCTCGGGCCAGTCCCCACGCGCCCACTCAACCCACGACTCCGACGCCCGCTTGGCGAGTTGTTTGACGGCGGCGGCGACGCGCAACTCCGTCTCCTCGTCGCGGATGGCGCCCAGGGCCTTGCGATAGGAAAGCTGTTCGAAAACAAAGGGTTAGCTGGGTTATGCAGGTTAACAAACGACTTACGACGAGTGGCGACAAGTCTTGAGCCCACTCTTCGACCACATCGAGCGTGGCGTCGGCGGTCGGCGGAGCCTTGAGGACCACAAGCAGCGAGGCGAGGTGGCGGTTGACGAGCGAAGGAGTCGAGGCAGGGGTGGCAGAGTGAGCAGACATCGTAGAAAGCAGCGAGTATGTGGAAAAGGACGGCGAGGTAGCGACGAAGGAACGATGGGATGGGGAAAATAAGGCTAAGTCTACCCTGCTTATAACCCCTTTCCGACCAGCATTTAGCGCCGGCCACGTGGCGTTCGAAGTCTACCCGGGTTGCCATTCCGCTTCGATCCGTTCACGACTATCGCGCTTCTCGCATCACGTGGAGGACCGAGGGCGGTCCAAATTTCAATAGGGAGGAGATGATAGGCGCCAAGCCCCTCTGGGCCCCGATTCACCTCTTTTCGGCACTCGCATCCCGCCCGGCACTTCGACTCAGTCCCCCAACACTTCGATTTCGACTTCGACGCTCTTCGACACCTTCGACGGTGCGCGACGCTTACTCGAAGCTCGGCACGGTCTTCCCGATGCCTCGTGCGTAGATCTCGGAACGTCTTCCGCATTCGGCGAACAATAGGGCCACTTGACGCCGCTCGGCCAAGCGCGCGCTTTGCTCCAAGCCACACCGAAGTAGCCGGTCTTTCCCGATTAGGTATCGAACCTCGCGGCATGCCTTCATGACGGCTACCGGTCCGAAGTGGCCATATGTTGCCCTTCATCTCCGCATTCAGCATGACGTCACTCTACTGATGGACTTGGTATGTGCCCCTCGGTGAGGCAGCTTCTTGAGGAACAATGCAAAGCCCCTTGTACCCGTATGCCACTCTCGAATAGTCGTAGCATCCTGTGTAGTATAAAATCTGTCGTAGTTCTCCCCAAAAATACAAGATCCGTTCCCCCCCCTCGAGTTCAGAGCTCATAAGTCGAGTTCGCCCTGTGTCTACGTCCTCAACTGCGTCACTTTGTTCCTCACTGCGTAACCTCGAAACCTCGTCCACTGCGTTCACTCGTCGATACCGTCTCGACGAACCTTTCGACTTCGACTATTGTTGAAGAACTGCGTTGCACCTCGAACCGCGTCCTAGTTAAGTCCCCCCTATCGAATCGTGTCCCTTCTCTCTACGATACGTCGAAGAGCTCTGCCGAGCTTCGATCGTCGCTAACTTTCCACAGCCTCCGAGTAGCTTCGACGACGTGTTGAAGCCACCGCGTACCTTCCCTAGCGTTCGTAGCCTTTTCCGAAGGCGTTTCTCGTGTTCACTCGAACCGCGGGACACCTTGCTGCTAACTCCCCTCTCATTAGACTATAAGCCGTCTCTCTAGTCCCTTTAGGTCGCACCCAGAATAGGGGTTAGGGTTTTGTAGGTCGTATCACCGCCTCATCGTCGAGATTACCAAAGCGAGCCTTGAAAGCGGCAGTGAAGGCTGCTTCGTCCCTGAAGGGGGTTGTGACCCCTTGTACACCCATCTGCACCGATGCGAGTTGGGTGAAGTACGGAGTGGCCCAGGCGCGGGCATCTCCGTCGAGCAGGCTAAGCACCACCTGCACCTTCAGCTCGATGGTTGTCAATGACGTATTGATCAACCAGTAGATGCGGAGTTGCGATAGGAACCTGTCACATTCAATGACGGTTTTGCTGTCATAGCGGAGAGGGAGGAGGAGCTTCAGGGTCTCCTTGTTGGGGGTGGTCGTGGGAGAAGACATTATCGGCATCAGGGGGGACGGAGGACGCTGCGGGGGCGGAGGCGGCTGTGGTGGCCCTCCGCTGGTCGAACTTCGAGAGGAGCGAGTGCTTGAGCGGCCTCTCGGCAGAGTCGGCAGTGAAGGCACTGGAGAAAGTTCGGCGGGGGGGTCACGTACGTCAGGGACTGCTGACGCGGGGGCGAGCGCTGTCGGCGAGGTGGACCGAGTAGAATCCGCGGACTCGGACTCCGAGACTCCTTCTTCACCTGCACCCTCCTCAGGCTCAGGCTCTGGCGCAGGGTATGGAGGGAGATCTCCTCGTACTTGACTGGATTCGGCAACATTTTGGGGAAGGCGGGAGCTGGGGGAGACAGGGCAAGAGTGCCGCGAGGTGGATCGAGATGCAAGGGTGCTTCGAGGACCGAGCGGATGTTGCACTCGTCAGATCGCCTTGTAGCGGGGGTAATCCTCTGCGATCAATCGGGGTGTCCAGTTGGGGCACAGTTGCTGCTCGCAACGGTAGAGGGCGGGCTGAGGGCCGTCTGGGAGGTAGACGTCGATGAGGTCCTGAGAGTCGAATGCGTGAACTTGGCCTTGGCAGGCAGCCACGTTGGATGGGGGGAGGAAAGGGAGGTGTGCGTACTACAAAAGGCCATGCTATACTAGCTTACATCTACGGCGCCCGAGATGACACTGAGATTTGCAGTTCACGTAGGGCCCAATACTGCTTTTGACTATTATGCAGCAGGAACCAAGGCTACGCGTCCGTGAGGACAAGTACCACTCACTGAAGCGCAGGTACTGAAGAGTTCGTCTCTCTAGTGTTGGCGATGTATAGTAGGCTATTTACGTATCGTGGGGTACAGTAGGGGTGCGCACCACCCAACCTATGGGAAAGGAGAGTGAGTGTGTGGGGTTCCGAGGAACGCCGGCAGCTTTGTGGAGTTTCGACCTAATGTCGCGACTTGAGGTCTAGCGACAGGGGAAAACCTAAAGGAGCTGGGGGCGTTCGACTGATTCTCACCGAAGCGATGGTGAGCAGTGCTCAAACCTAAGGCTAGGGACAAGAGAATGTATTAGTTAGTGTAAGGTAAGTAAGAGAATACAAGAGCTTACTGACCTAGGGACAAGAGGTCGAAACTGAGGTCCCTAGGGCAGCAGAGGCCGGCTTATATACATGGGGAGATAAGGGCAGGCTGTGCGCACTGGTCCGTGCGCAGCTGGTCTGTGCGCAGCTGGTCCGTGCGCAGCATGCTGATGCGGCCCTGAGGGCCGGTGAGTCAGAGAGGCTGTGTCAGCGGAGCCCGAGCTGTGCCGCGCACTGCCACCCCATCTAATCTAATCATACAGTAGATATGATGTGTCCGTATCAGGCAAGTAGTACAGAGGTCGCGGGTTCGAGCCCGCGAAAGGGAAAAAATTAAAAAACGGCTAGGCGCCGTGCCAACTCGTGACACATTGTAACGTGCCGTTACAGACAGCTGGAGCTCTACCTCCGCTAGTAGTTGACTCAAAGTTGGAACAGAGTATTCAGGGGGTTTGGTGTTCGGTTATTCTCAACCATCTGTGACCCAGAATATTCATTATCATGTGCGCTAACTTGATATCCTTCGACCGCCGAAATCATTCCTAGGCCTTGAACCATGTTGATATGTCAAGTACAGTACCAGACGCGGGTCCGACGAAGCAGAGGATATTGATCAGTCCGTATCGCGCTCATGGTGAGCCACTGTCATCATGATGGAGATACCATGTAGCAAACAGAACGTCGATGTCTTTCATGGATTTCCGAACCGGTCCCATATGGAGTCCGAGATCCACGTGACATAGTGCTGAAGTGACATGATATGCTAGTGAGCTCGAATCATTTTGCAGGGCGCCACTCAGCTCTGGATAAAGCCATTGCGGAGGAGATATACTGTTCTCTCACTGTCTGCTGCCTTTCCTCCCGCTACTATGAAGACTGTCTTCAGCGATAACGAGTCTCATGAGTTAGTATTGTTCACAGGGAACATGAACCCTATGGAACCTGCCAGGGCAGGCGCAGAAGCGGCGCATCCTGGTGGCCAAGTGGTGTCCATGGCTTGTACATTTCGCGCTGCTTGGTCTATGGCTCTCACCGGTCGCGCAGTGACCAAGAGTGCGCACGGCTGTTAACAACTCTCTGTATGTACTGGCATTGGGACGACGCAGAATGCTCATCTAGAACACATAGCACCTGTTCTTGAGGCCGTCGCGTATCACCCAATCGTCTTCAACGGTTCCCTGACGTCTTCATCTGTCTACGGAGGGACGCCTTCACCGGGGATTGATGCCGCGTGGAAGAGGATTACCGAAGTCAGTGAGTGTGTATGAGTGCTCCTCCCTGTTCAGACGAGCAGACAGATTCTTGTCGCTCACCGTGGCATGTAGGACCATTCGCGATTACGGCGGACGACCTTGCGCTTACTAGAAAGAGGTTATGACCATCCCTTACCACCTTTGTCGAAAATGGAGCCGTCGCAGCTGAGCTGGAGGTCGTCCATCAGCTCCACTGTCTGGTGAGTTGACATCATCCCGTTCGGAAGATTGAGAAGCAGCTGACGTAGACAGGACATATTGCGTAAACAGACGTACCCCGGTCAGCATGCTTCTAGCGAAGAGGATCCCGGGCTGTTCAGAGAGCATATAGGTGACACGTATATCTCACGCGGTAGCGGAGGTCCGCTCATGCTGTGCCACAGATCACTGTATCGAGATGCTCCGCCAGCAAATTATGTGTGTCGGAGACGTAGGGGTCATCACCTTTTATTGGGTGGAAGGCCACACCCAGCCGTACCCCGACTTCAACACCATGCATCGCTGCAGGGACTTCGAGAAGATCCTCGCATGGCGTGATGAGCGCATAGCACACGCGCGTCTCGAAGTTGTCGAAAACGCGCCCCGTCTCAAGGAAGCACCGTAGCATGTCACGATGTGTTGGGCCGGTTGCGTCTCTTGACTGGAATGAACGGTTTCGCAAGGCACACGTAGCAGCTGATCAAAATGGCGCACCGCAACGCTTCACCACGCCTGGCGATGAAGCAAAGGAGTTCATGGATGACGTTTGCAAGTATGCGATCTGAAGGTCATTTACCCGTCGCCCGGTCCAAAAAACATACTTACACCATCTGTCGATAAGATCCTGTTGAACTACCAACACAGCGGAAGGACAATACGCGTCACATATGACTAGAGAGCAGTGAGGGAGACTTCCAGAGGAAGGCTTCCGCTGACATTCCACGCAGCTATGGTCCTATCAAATATTTGTGCTGCCGTTTTTCTATCAATCACCATCGACGGCAGGTATCGAATTGCATCTGAGAATCACACTGTCATCCGCCTATGTGCAAAACACATTACAGGTCACTGGTGGACAACCCCGTCTACACGACAAACACTCACAATGGTCGGATCATTAACAGCACGCCGGCGGTCTGCAAGTAGGCCAAGTAATGCATACTTCATCCGCGGTCAGGGCTGAATATTAAGCTCGTCACTGCCGGGATACTACGGAGACACCGCTATGAGCTCACACAGGGAATCACAGCACTTGCTGCATCAGACGCACACGGTCAGCGGAGATGCGCTCTCCGCACATTGTAAGGCACTCACTATCTGGCGAGGGAGACGCCGCTACGCCGATGACGGCGGCGCAGGCCGCGAGGACGAGGATGATGACGACGTGCTTGAAGAGCATCTTGCCGAGCGAGGCAGAAAACAACGTACGGACAACGCTGATACCCGGGCGACTGAGTGTGCTTTCATACCCTGCGCTCTCGGGCGGAGGATAGTCTCCGCCGACGCCGCTACACAACGAGTGCACCGAATATCGACATGCAATGTCTTCTCTATGCTGTCAAGCATGTGTCCACGCGCATATAGTCACCATTTGCGTTCTTGAGGTGGGTCTAGATGATCACCTCGTACGTCGAGTGAGCGATCCACGTGCCTGCAGATGGCAGCACTGTGCACGAGGTCCTGTATCTATATACAATCCAGGTAAGCCACAGAACACCGGAGTGCAACGGGGCCCACTGTCGTCCAGATCGGGGATGATGACGCCATAACGGGCGCCTCCACGGTACTAGGCATGGAACTGCACTCACTGAGAGCGAGAATCGGATGAGGGAACAGTCGTGTTTGAAATAGTCTGGATGTAGGAAGTATCGTCAATACGCGCAACCGCGGACACCATCGTACCGGCACGAGGAAACCAGGGTCGACTTCTGAAACACTACTGCAGTCAACCACGACACGATTTACTCTTCGCCTACCTTCATAAACCGGGGTCATACAACAGACATAGGACAATGGGCCAGAGAAACCCGTATCAAGAAATATTGGTACAGTCGCATTGTAAGGTACAGAGTGGACTCAAAAGCAATTCAAAACAGGAATGGGATGACCGCCTTCCGATCACGCGGGTAGTCCGGAAAGCGTTTGTGGTACCATCTGTGCCCCTTGTATGCGCGAGGAAGCATCAACAAAACTTCAGAGAGGAAAAACAGATACGGTGGCGAAAGCGTAGCCAGCAGCACTCCGAAGGACGCGAACGAGGGCGGAGGCGCGGCAGCGAGCGCGAAGCCAAACCACTCGCACCACTCGCAGAAGTAGTTCGGGTACGAGATGAGGCTGTACAGGTACCCGTGCGGGACGGCGTAGTGCTCCTGCTTGTTCTTTCCCCTGCTGTCGTCGTCGGCTTTCGCCTTGCCCTTCGCCTTGGCGGTGCGGCGGATGTTGAGCAGCACCTCGTCGTGCACGATGTTCCCGACGAGGCCTGCGGCCCAGAGGCCGATGCCCGCCCAGAAGGACGGGCGCGCGAACGCGCCTGCGAGGAACGCCTGTGCGCTAGGCGAGGAGAGATACGCGCCAAGGAGGAAGCCGTTCACGACGTTGAAGAACACGGCGGAGAGCGCGACGCTGACGTGCGACTTGGAGCGCGAGGGCGTGCGGAGCGGCGAGATGATCGCGCGGTTGAGATAGTGGGTCAGGAAGAGCGCGGAGAGGAGGCTGGAGGGATGCGAGAGCGTCAGGGGTGGGTGCGGGGAGGTTGTGAGGGGCGCGTTCAGGTACGTGTAGCTGAACATGAGCGGCGAGACAAGCTCCATGAACATCCAGGACTTGATGCCTGTACACGCGCGACGTTGAGCCGCACAACTGCGCCAGATATTTTGTGCACATACCATCGACGAGCAGGATGCTATTTTGCGAGGGCGTGAAGCGGCCGAAGGGGGCGTCGATGATGAACGTTAACGGGCATATGAGCGGTGGCATAATAGTGAACCACGTCTTGCCCGCTGGCGGTCTGATGAGCGATGGTCGCCGTGGACGTGAACGCTATATCTGACTTACTGTTGTACCATAGCTGCGCCTGCTCGACGGTGGGCATTCTGGCTGGGATGAAATCAGGACAAAGCCAGCCTTCGTCGTAGACGCGCAGTGAGTGTGCGGACGCGCGTCTGCGTGACGTGATGCTCTCGCCTACATAGTGGAGAGCCGACTTTCTCGTTGCCTGAGACAGCCACCACGACGCACTCGGTGAAGGACACTGAATCGTATTAACCATCTCGATGGGGAGCACATCGTCTAAGCCCGCCCGCCATCTTCCACGGACAGTTAAACCAACATGGGCGGGTGCCCGTACGCCGAATCCAGGCGAGGCGCCGCATGCAAGGCCAAGCATTCCTCGAGCAAGCGAGACGAAAAATGAAGGTATTTGCACCCTCTCGGCGCATGCATACTGTGCTCAACTCAACCAAAGCGATCGAGAGGGATGCCAGGGACCCGCAGTTCATGGCCAACCTCAGCAAGCTGGGACAGGTTAGGGTCGACCACCATATGCAGACAGTGCGGCCAGTAAGTGCATACTCGATGTCGGTTTATCACATATGTCCTGAGTGGTCTTGCTATCGTGACAGGACGCAGAACGCATTCAGGGCGTCTTCCAGACTCGCCTGCGGTCTGAAGTCGAGGCGAGCTCAGCGCGGTCAACACACAACAAGCTCGTCGCCGGCTCTCTGCAGGACCTGCTGCAAGAGCGCAAGTCCTTGACTTCGCGCGACGAGCTGCACAAGCTCGCACAGCGCTACGACGTCGATCCTGACAAGCTAGAGAGCATCGCGCGCTTCGTAAATAGCCCCAGTATCGACGAGGGCTCCATCAAACGCACCATTGGTGAAGATGGGGCGGAAACTGTTACCATGAAGGTCTGCCATTGTCACTCGTGCTGCCTGTGCATGCGTAGAGATCTGATACGTCGGTGCTATGTGTCCAGGCTATATGGGTTGACCCGAGTCTGCGACAGCCTCCGTCGGCGCAGCTAACATCCGGCTAACAGATCACTCATTCACCGATGCGAACGTACATTCTGTCGGTATATGACGTGACGACTGGCCATTTTGCTTGATCGTTCATACTGATCCGCGTAGCAGCGTCTCACAAGGCCCTTTCACTGTGCCTGATGCTCAGACGAGGCCGAATCGACATTGCGCCATAAATATCTATGGACGCATTGGTAGCAAAAGCGGAAGAATGCACAATCTGGAAGTCATACTCGCTCGAACGTCCGACCTCCTACGTCCATCTGTCGATGCTATTTCTACCTACCTGTGTCATTGCCATACAATAATATATAGTGACGATCACGGCTCACTGGCGACGCGGGTTGTCAGTGGATTCAGCATCTGTTTGAAGGAGCAAGATGAAGAATGTCGGGTAAGACTCTGATGCATCGCACCCTGTTGGGTGTTTTGCGATATGCCTATCTTCTACGATTCTGCCTAGAGACCGTGTGCATGAATTCTGCTCTGCGATCTGATTTCATTCATCGCTGCTGTTGTACAGATTTTTAGAGGCGAGATAGGGCGAGATGTCAAGACTGTTTGATCGGGATCTTGCAGATCGAGTCAATTGTACGCCATCGGGATGGCGACGGAGATCTCCACCCGCAACACCTTGCTTCGCTTGAATCCACAACTTCTCAGTCTAGCGTTGACCTGTCGTGCTAGAAAAGCTCCTCGTCCAAAGGCGACGTCTGCTGTGGAAACGCCTTTGTTGCGAAGTTATCCTCTGGATGACCGACGCTGAAAACTAGTACTCTGTTGTGAGGATATCCATCATGGCCCCGCCGATAATTGTCAGCATCTAGTCTAGATAGTTCAGTGGCCATACGCCCTAAGACAAGCTGCAAAGTCTTCCATCGAACGAATCAGAGACTTTGAGGATGATTGGGACTGGCATGACGTACGCATGTGCCCAAGCCTTGACCGTCTGAACTTCTCAATCGTGAAGGAGAGAGGCTGGCCGAAGTCCTCGAGAGACGGACTTCGTGTCGCGCAAGCTCCGACTCACACAGCCGGATGCTCTCTGAACAGACACGTCCATTCATCTAAACCCACGCCGTACCTAAACTCCAGTCGGAGGCTTCCCGCGTTCCAACACACCGCCATGGTCACCAACAGGCTCTGGCGTACTCTTTCTGCCTTCAACCGCTCCATCCGATGGTGGGAACCCATACCTTCGAGAAACGCACAGAGCCAAGTGATACAGAGGCCTTCTCTCACATCACCGAACATCGACACCTTCCGGATGCAGAGGCTTTCTCTCATATCATGGAACATCGACGCCTTCTCCTCGTAGCCTGAGCCTTCGCTGTCTTCTAGAAGTCACCCACGCTCAAATCTGAATATCGTGCTCATTCTGACGATACCAGCAGCTCTCTGGTATCGTTGAATCCTACGCGTGAAAATCGTTCAGTGTGAGACTGAAACTCGAGGGTCTAGTAAGGACTATTACATCCTGTTCCAATATCGGACAGGGCGGAAGCTATATAACTAGTCACGGGAGCTGCAGCTCATGTTTTGCTTGAAGAGGTACGTTGAAATTATCTATCGGCGAGCACCAATCGTCTGTTCTCCTTGTTCTTTATACATCAGTTCGATGGCCATCACCTTTACATCTACGCCTCCCATCATGCAATGAGGTCCACGTCACTGGCGACGGAGGCAAGATCGGCTTAGAAGAGGCGGAATAGGCTGCCTGCAAGTCATTATCATTCGAACATACTCAGTCATCAGCCTCTCTTCACTCGCAGCCAAAGTCCATGCAACTGTACTTCGGAAACCTCACCAGGCGAGCCTCCTACTAAACGCACGTGCTACATCATGGCGCCTCTTTCAGCCGAGCGATATCCTCAGAAATCTCTAGCGGGAGATGCACCACGCGCTCATCCCGCCATTCCATGATCTTCTCGTAGTCTCTGCACTGATGCCATGTATTGAAGTCGGGCCAAGGGCTCACGTGTCCCTCTACCCAATGGAAGGTCACCAGCCCGGTGTCACCGGTACACATAATTTGCTGTCTAAGCATCTCGATGCAGTGGTCTAAGTATTGCTCCAGTTAGCGGACTGCCATTCTGGCTGCTATTGATGGCAGACCTATGTGATTCCTGTACAGCTCAGGATCTTCTTCGCCGTGTGAGTACTTTTCAGGATGCGTGAACTCGCGCAACATGTTCTAGGGCAGTCAGTTAGTCGAGCTCATTGAATCTATGACACGGTACGGTACCAAGCAGTGCAGCTGATGCACGACTTCCAACTCTGCAATGTATCGCCCATCATTATTAATCTTCACCAAAGACGGCAAGATTGGTTTGCCCGCCCTCGAGAGGTCGTCGTCCGTGATCGCTATAGGTCCTAGACTGAAGGTAAGCGTGTAGTGGAGACAGATATCCGCATTTAGCACACTCACGGACTGTCGATATTCTATCCCATGCAGCATCGAGTTCCGGCGATGGGCTACCTCGGAAGATCGACGGGTATGTCAGTGAACCATTGAAACGGACTGGACGATATTCTATAGCTTCTGATGCGGGTGCTATAGTGGTTTTAGTTGACATTTACGACCTGAACGTGAGCACTTACAGGGAGTAGACAGTTGTCTCGCGCACTGTCGATCAGTCGATGGGCGGAGCGAGAGGTAGAGTGGAAGCCATAGGCAGAACAGCACGGCATGAGCCACCCAAGGATACCACCTAGGCCACCATTTCCGTGAGCGCGCGGACTGCTCCTTCTCTGAGGATGCTACAAGCAGGTTGTCTTGCGAGCTGTCTGGGTTTGCATAGAGTGAGCTCATATCTGCTGTGAGTGGGTCCTACGAAGGGCAGGGAGGATGTCCCGTAAAGGTATTGACCCTTCGAGCTTACCACAAGGCTGGTAGGCGCACTGCAGCCTTCAATATCTGGACAACGATTTTTGACATTACATCTGATGCTGTCAAAATCGGTGTTGACATCGAACCCCTGGCGTTGCTATTTATATCACAATATTCCGCCTCCGTACGTACAATACACTGACACTGCAGGGTCACAGACAGCCTGACTGACAAGGGTCTTACCTTTGTAGGTTATAATATATGGTATGTCACTTGAGACTGACTGATAAGAAGCCGTGCGTGAGTCTGATTCAACGATTGCAAATATATGTAACTCAGCGTACCTCTGACAGGTGTCAACCACCTCATTACTTTTGTGACGCTTAACACCATGAATTGGCCGCGCCTTGGCGAGCATGTCTAGCGCTATTCAAAATATGTCGTTCTATCACGGCCTTCGAGAGGCTACAAAAGGCAACAGTGTGTCTATTTGCCGACTAGGTTGACGTTATTCGGCAGGGGTCGATATCCGACCATGCAATTTGAAGTCGCTGTCTTTCAGCTACTTCCATATCGTTAGAGCTTCCTGAAACTTCTTGTGCGCAAGCGAAGCTAACGCAGAATTTCCAACCAACAGTCGGGAACTAGCTGTACCCGACGAAATATCATCACATCGAAAATACAGCTGATACCATGTCGTTAGACCTGTCGAACTCGATCCATGTGTAAGCGGACTTGCAGCCAGCAAAATGTAAGATCGAATACAAAACGAACGGTGTAAGTACTTCCGACACTGCCTTCGGGCGAGAATGGCGGGACGACACCTTGTCGGGTCCTGCCAGGTTCCGACCATTGACTCCAGATTCTGCACCAACTCCGCTTGCGCACAAAACTTCTCAGGTAGGATTAACAATATGGAAGCAGCCGTAAACTGTTGACCCCAGGGCCCACCCATCCCCGCGCAAGAACTGCGTAAGAAAACATTGAATTCAGCAGATCTGATGGTACGGAATCAGCTGTTATCGCGCACACACCTGATGCCGGACATGGAACGCTTTCATGGGATGACAGCTTTGTCCCATCTTCCTCACAAGCGCTGCTCACCATAACAGGCGTGGTGTGAAACCTCATTGCGTCCACAATGAGGTATAAAAAGGCAGTCGCGGACGCGCCGTATTTGCACACCGCCTTCGCGTCTTGAGCTCTTGGACCTCTTGGACTTGTTCAACAGCAATATGCAATTCCGCAGCTTCATTGCCCTTCTTGCTCTGACGGCCTTGGTCGGCGCCGTCCCTACCCCTCTTGCAGAAGGTAAGATACAAATCGTTCGTAGGCTTTGTTCATGGATTACTCAAGGTCCGTCCTATTTCTTGCAGGCGACGAAATCGCCAAGGGGGATTTAGCGACGCTTTCAGGCGACGAGGCGACCAAGGTCGACACTGGTATGCATCAGTCTTTGTGAATCCACATGTCCAATATTTGAGCTGATATTGACACTCAGCGCCGGATCCAGAATGGTCATGCAGCATCACATTTCATTACTGCAGCTGAGGTCCCTCGTGGGTTTGTGAGTATCTTGGCTGGAGATGTCGACAGTATATCTGATAGCTGTTTCCGCATCTGTACAGCTATCGCGGCTTGATATGAGCTACTGTATAGCGTGACACATTGACTCAGGGGTCTAGGGTCTGGCGAGAAAACGCACTGCAACTCTAGTCGTGTAATAGCTAGTAAACACAATGGCCACTATCTTGATGCCGTGCACAATGTCAATATATCATGGTGGCTGCAGTGGCACTAACCATCACGAGCTGCTCACGCCACAGTGAGGTTTTCTCCCTCCACCAAGCTGGAAATTGTGACGTAGTTCGTGCCGTCACTATCACAATTTGACGGCACGATGAATTCATCCACTACTCGATCGTCTGACGCAGTTTTTTCAAACTCTTCTAGTATTACCTCGTGTTGCTCATATGGGCAGGGCTTCAATCTCAGTTAAAAACTTGTACCGCTACTCTCAGAGTCGAAGTCAGCTGCAAGATGCAATTCATTTACGCCACCGTGTCCCCTCGGTGAATTGATCGCCTCCGCCCGGACAATCGCTGGCCCTGTCCACCATACAGGCCTCGAAATCATTGCAGAGCTGTTCCTCACGGTTCTCCACACATGGTAATGACACCTATCCGAATGAAACACTAGCAGAATCCCTTGTATGCTTTCAATACGACTCGGATCCCTTGGGCAAGTTGATCGCGGACTACTGAGTAGCATCTGATGAGCATTCCAACTTGATTGATTTACTTATTCAAAGACGCGGCAGAGACTCAAGACACGACAGACATAATTTATATTCACTGGTCTCCCGAATCCCGCGATAGCCATGGCTGTGCGATTATGCTCCAGTATGTCAGCGACAAAATTCGATTACCCTTTGTGGGCTGCAAACCAAGATAATGTTGCCGTGCAGCCCTTCCTACACGTGGAGGGAGGTTCGCCACAGAGGATCACCACGAGTGAACAGTCATAGAAATGTCGTAATAGGGTGTGCTTCAGGCAAAGGAAAGATACATCATTGGCCAATACGAGCCTCTTTGGCATGGATATCGTGTACCAGGAGTAGTCCTGGGGACATGAGCATCGAAGGACAGCCGTCGACACCTTCAAGTAGTCATATTCGCCTGCTCGCGGAACATCGCCGCCTCCTCTACGTCGTCTGGCCTTTTCGAGAGGAGCACAAGCATCAGATACACCTTCCGACTGTGTAACGGTATTCTGACAGCGTACCTGACAAGACCCTTTGCAATCTGCTGCTCTGTGAGCTTCTGCAGGTACGGGACCAGCACACCGGTGTATTTCTCCGATTTCTTGTACTGGATATTTTGCCCATCAGCCGACAGCCATAAGCGCGTACGAGCACGCACGCACGCCCATGAGCTCACGATCCGCCTCGGTATGTATCTTCGCAAGCAATGCTGGGACGAGTGGACTGTCTGCAAGGTCACCGATGCGCTTCAGGACGGGATGTCTGCGTGGGAATCGCTAGGTAAACAGTGTCCAGTTGAGTAAAACGACAAGATACCCACACGCCAAACATAATCCCCCGCGTCTTGGGCAGCTTGCGGAACGTCTGGTGGTCGATGCGCAGGAAGAGGTCCTTCGGGTGCATATCCGCAGGCATCGTCCCTGAGATGATGTTATCTGTTTTCCCAACCACGTCATAGTCAGTGATCGCGTCCAGAGCGGGCATAGGGTGTCAGGAACGGAGTACGCACGCCAGAAGAGTTCGCGGTCGTCGACAATCATCCAGCTTGCCCGCTCGAAGGGGCGGTCGGGCGCGAAGCGCGCCATTGTGCGCTCGACGCTCATGAGCATCTTGTTGAAGTGCGGCACAGACCCGTGCAGCTCGTGCAGCGGTTGGCCGATCTTTTCCGAAAGAAGGTACGAGCCTAGTGAAGACCATATCTACCGCGTTAGATGGATTTGGAAGATGTGCCGGCGCGAGACACACCGGGGAAGACGATCAGCCCGCCGACGAGGTAGATCTTGCCATCGGGGCGTTCGCGACCCATGAGGAAGTCGTCCTGTACAAGTCTGGTGTTGCACCATTCATCTTGTTTATGTCGCCGGGGGCGAGTAGACCACACACCTCGAGACAGCAAGGAGCGCGTCCACGCCACTCAGCGTCCGCACGTCCGGGAATGACTCGCCGGTGACCTTGTTGACGATACCGATAGCAGGTTCAGACGGGTTGTCGTAAATGGCGTCGAACATAGTGGGGAAGCGTTTGGGAAGGTAGTCCGCGAGCGTCTCGAGCAATTCGGTACATGCTGCGTCATTCTCTGGGAGCGAGTCGATGACTACTTTGCCTGGATATAGGATCGTTCAGCTCCAGCCACTGAGATTCCTAAGCCACAGCGCGCAGGAAACAGTCCTCGGCCAGTGACTGACCTTGTTCTCGGATGACGCGTGCCTTCTCGTCCAGATACCATTTGTACTCCCGATCGATCTCAATCCAGTCATTGATGTGCATTGGCTGGTGTGCCATCGTCTATGATGGTGCCACGATCAGCTCAATCAATGTATGATGCTCGCAAGCGACGCCGTCCACAGATCAGTCGGAAATAAGTTCAAAGATACACACCTGGAAATACGGGTATCGCAGCACCTTGTTGACGTACACATAGTCGCGCACGCTCGCAGTACTCAGGTCGAGATTGCTTAGTGGATCAGGGTCGGGGAGGTAGCCAGGCCCCTTCGCGTCCCACGCGCCGCCCTCAAGCTTGCCCGAGCCGTACCGCAGCGGCTTGGGCGCTTTCTTTTCTGAGGATCCGGAAAGGTCGTCGCTGCGCGTGGGCACGTCGCCATTGTGCGGGAGTCGAGCGCGCCAGATGCGTGAGAGGGATAGGATCACCACCGCACTCAAGATAGCAAGCGCAACATAGTTGTGCCATTGAAAGGTGATAGAGACAGAGCCAAACTCGAGAGTGTGCGCCATAGCGTTACCCAAGTTGACCAAGGAAGTGCGCTTTCACTGCCAGTGAGAGACGGAAGATACCAGCAAGGATGAGGACCAGCACGAAAGATATAGCTACGCTAAAGCAACGACTGATACGAATGTCATGTCTGAGGAGCTGGCGCTGTCGCCTACAGATAAGGATAGCTTCTGCTGTCGCTGAAGATCCTTCGAAGAGAAGAATTTGCCACGTCGGAATCTGTAGTCAGTCCGTGCACACGATCCTTCGGCTCTCCTGACAACAGCTCGGATTACGACCTCAGCGGATACAATCTTGACATCGGCTAGCCCGATCTTCTTTAGCTTTCCCATGACACAGTACAGCATACGCCTGACCTTGTAGGCACAGACTGTCCCGCGATTTCAGAAACCCTGAAATTGACATTCGAAGAACGGAACCTAAATTTGTCTCAATCCCAATTCATCATAATATCAAACCCCGGATAAATATGTTGCGCTGGGAGCAACACAGACCGCTTCGCCGCAGGCGAGTAATATGTGTGTTGAGCTCACTGCTAAGTGCGCCCCTCGTCCGTCCGGGAATTTGAGGGCAACGGCAACCTGCCAATCGCGCTTCGTTGGGCGTTTCCGTACAATGACACAGAGTACAAACTCGCTTGTCTCGTACTCATCCCCTCGTATCCGCACCCACCACCGCGATAGAGGGTGGGGTGCGGATACGAGGGGATAGGTACGAGACAAAACAGATATTATTAAGCGCTCACGAGGCGCGCTAATTTCGGCGCGCGCCTAACGTTTTGAGCACAGTGATTGGTCGTCGGGGCTTGTCGCTCATGATTCCTCCTTCGTTGCCTCACTTTAAGAGATTTGAAGAAACAAAGATATACATTCGACTAGTGCACAAGTACCCTCTTGACCCGTTAGTTTTCTCTGGATATGTTTCTAAGTATCCTTCGGATCTACACGTGTCACACTGCCACCCCTTAGCGCTTCACTCATCCGAACTTGAACCTAGCCTCTCGGCAGCAAGAAATTCGTGCAGGAGATCCTGCCCGCCTGAGTGAGACTTGGCATGTACCATTCACCACTTCCATTCAGTGTGCACTCAACCGCCGTGGTGTTGTTCAGATCGAGACCGCTGCTGAAGTCAACGATGTACGTTGGCAATGGATCTGACGTCGATGCCATCGAAATGGTAATGAAGTAGTGAGTGATCGCTGGATGTAAATAATTATCGTTCGTGGCCTTTAAAATGATTCACCGATGTTACAATGTCTGGTTCCGATTTGATTAGAGACTGACTCGTGGTCGAGGCAGTCGTGTCAGTCTCCAATGCGTGGGTTTATGGGTCGGATGGCCTTTGTTTCCAGTCATCATCGCATGTTGGATGTAGCGTCCAGCTAGGCAACTCGATGCAGCATTGTTGATGGTTGTATGTCGACTACTTAGCAATACGTTTCCATCTCTACTTATGCTATAGCCACCTCGTGTTCGCCTTCGAAGAGCATCAACGCTTTCATCTCAGCTCTAATCCATGTCATAGGCAACTGCTTGCGTTTGCTTGTAGTCCAATGACGCCTTGCATGCGCAGCCGTGTATCGCAGACCGGTACTGCCATATGGCGAATTGCTGGATTCTCGAGAGGCTATGGAGGGGAAAGAATTACATGTTACTTTCGTGGTACGTAGCCCTGATGATGGCGAAGAACTATTGACAAGACTGAATTGAATCCATCTATCCCGCTTCAATCAGGCGCTACGCTATGATCCGTGTTGAGGGTGTTCTACAAAACCGGAATTGGCACGCAGATCGAGAAGCCTTCACACACATACACCGAGATGATCAGCAGTCGGAAGCATAGCCACAGCCGATGTGTCCTGCAGCCACCAAATACTGCTCTATTCCACCTCGCTCCTACCTGAGAAGTTCATCTGACTGCCGTTTTTTCCTGTGGGATGACGGCAATCGCCTTGTTCACAGATGCGTATATAGGACGCAACTAAAGCGCTCGCTTCAAGAATTCCTCCATAGCTTCCGATCGCCCCGCAGGATGTCTGACTCTAATCAAACTCAGTTTATTCAAGAGTACCAATACGCGTGAGTATCTGGTCACATTCAGCTCTTGACAATAGTTGATCCAAGGCGGTTGCAATTCAGGTTAGCCGGTGATTACACGCTAGTGGCTGTGATTTGTGAGGAGTCTGTTTGTACTTGCACATTTGTTTCTTTACAGCGACTCTTCTGAAGGCCTCCTTTTTTACGACACGGCTATCGCCTTCTCCCAGGAATACCAAGTCGTCTGGAGCCGTGGAGTTACGGGGGCCAGCGCTATATACATAGCTCTTCGTTACTCCAACCTGACAACTGCAGTAATGACCCTTGCCTTACTTGCTGTACCATCCTGCGCAGTAAGTCTTCATATGAGTTATGCTGATTTCACTTGCTCACATCGTGCTACTCCAGACGTGAGGCCTTGAAATTATCTCACTGAGTATTCATTTGATTTACTTCGTGATTCCTTTTCTTAGGTTGTATATCTTAAAGTCGGTGTTTACGGGCGCTTTATGCTTTGTGTACCTTTCACAATCAGGTAGGCCTCTGCTTTCTCGTCGTCGAAGCGAATAGCGATTGAGGCGACGACACATAATAGCCTTCGGGGCGATCCGCGTCTATGCTATCCAGGGTGGGGTTTGGATGACAGCAGTCGTTGTGATGGCGTTGGGGCTCGTCCCAGTTGCCACTAATATTGTGGGTCAGCATTTTCAATGATAGAATGGTTACTGACTGTGGCGCACAGTATTTGGCTTCCCAGATCACGCCAGTGGATACAATATTGTCTTGCGGAGGCTCGAAGATCTCTGCTACCGAGAATAGAAAGTAAGAAATGCCACGAATCGTAAAAAGTGCACTAACTGAGTAAGACGAAGATGTAATCATGACAGTTTCCTTAGACGTTCCGTGTGGCCGTTGTGCTGATCAGGTCACTCTAACAAATAGTATTCTTTGCGACCCGTGCTTGCGCATTGATTTCAGAGTGTACAGTGCTAGTCGCAGCTTGGCGTGCCTCATTGCGCTCGCGTGCCCTCAGGAAGCTTGTCTCAACCGGCGGATATGATCGAATATCCCTCATTCATTTGTTCTTCAGAGATGGTGAGTCGATTATATCATTGTATGTCAAGAACTAATAGAACATTCAGGCGTTATCCATTTTGCGTAGGTCCAACGCCAAATGAATCCGTATACAATTGACATGTATGCAGACTTCTTCTTGGGATGAACGTAGCCGGCATCATCTACTTCCTCTTACAAGTTGTTCCTCACCAACTTCCGCATTGTATGAGCTAACATCTTCGCCATTAGAACCCTTACACAATGTCCTCCCAGATACAACAGTGCGAGCGCAATGAATTCACCTATGTGCTTGCCATTGACATTTCCGCTCTCAGGATCAGCTCGGTGGTCCTATGCCGCTTTTTCCTTAACCTTCGACAAGCTGCTAACTCGCATGACGCCACCGATGTGCACTCGAGTAGGACATTCTCCGGTACAACGTCGAGAATTGTCGGGGACATGGGCGAGATGCTTCAAGAATGTCCCTGCGAAGAAAGTACGCCCGTGGACGAGTACTACGATATCGAGGTCGAAAATCTCGATGCTCGAACGATCCCAGACGGCGATGATGAGGTTGATGGGTCTGCTGCTGTTGCAGAGGGACATGTTGTGTAAGGGGACACGGATCGATGGCTGTCCCTCTTTCCAGAGAAGACGCTGCCAATGACCTATGTGATTGTTTCAAAAATGCCACCGCGGCCATACAGTTGGTATCGACCCGCTCCCGCAGATACATAATAGCTATCAATTATCCATCTAAGTGTGATATAATCCATGTGATCGGAACAGCCGTATGTTTGCTCGTCGTTATATGATACTTTCGGTAGCGTAGTATGTACTGCATTGGTAGTCTGTGATGTATAACCAAACCAGATCTCCCGCGTGAGCCTGACCAAAACCAGAGATTCCGGGACCAACTGAATTGGCTGCATACAATGCATGTTATTATTACTAAGGGCTAATGTCACAGATAATTCAGCAATACTATCATACGTATTCCTCATGACTACTTCAAATGCGTGCGCGCACGCCTGTCTTATATTCCAGAAAACATGTGTGTCACACTCATTAAGTGTATGACGCACCGCGATTCGCACCTCCATCCGGTATAATTAGTTCATTCCATATGGGTTATGGGAGATCAAAAGCAGGTAACACTAATACGGTAATTGAAATGAGTAACTCACCTTCTCGTTCTCTGAGCGAACTACGTAATACCTTTCTGCTCTCATTGTTTTCTATCCCTCCTGTGATCCACTTGTATGGCGCTTTCGCCTCCAACACGTGCTAACACGTTGCACTCTCAGCAGTCGCCCACCGCGCAACCAAAGGCAGCCGGCAGTCTGCTTATTGAGTGTGAGGGCTCATATCATGATAGTTACCGATGATGATAGTGTCATTCGTCGCGACCAACTCCTAAAGCATCAATATCGTCGGCTAGTTCCGGAGTTATATAAGGGAGCCATCCGATCACGCCGACCCTATCTCAGCCGCGAGCCTGCAACCTACCTATGTCTCACATCTCAGTCGCAAATGAACTTTGTATGCCTGAACAAACTCAGCCTATGGCAGTCATCATTTGTTGGTCGCAGGCCCCGGTGACCAATAATCCAAAAATGTGCAGCCCCATTGATTGTTGCCCGTCGACCACACAGCAATAGTAGTTGGTCCGCGTTTGCGTTCAACAAGATACCAGTACATTCATCTCACCTCACATGCGCACTCAGTTCATGCACTCGTTCCTGTCCACATCGATGCAGCTGTGCCTTCGCCACGTAGCCATGCATCGCAGATGAGCGGTATGACCGCATGGCTGATCGCTGGCTGGGTTCCCGAGGTGTCAGTGAGAAGAGAAATAATTATATATTGATTTGATGGTACGTAATCCTCTTGACAGTGAGGAATGATGATATATTTTCTTCCAGTAGCACTATATTGAATCGCTGCAGACGAAGCCCGCTTGAATCAGACACTGCCTTGTGATCTGCTTTGTAGATGTCATATCAAATAGAGATTGAGACGTAGGTTGAGGAGCTTCCACACCCGTGATGCCGAGACTACCAGTCGGCGAAATCTTCCCTCAAATGCATAGCCACAGTCGATCGCCTCATGTGAGATAAAAGTGTCCTGCAGCCACCAGAAGCGCTATCCCACCTCATTCCTGCCTTAGAAGGTTCATCTGACCGCCATTTGTTCCTGTGGGATGACGGCAATCGCCTTGCTGCTCACAGATGCGTATATAGGGCGCAAGTAGAGCGCTCGCTTCAAGAATTCCTCCATAGCTTCTGACTGCCCTGCAGGATGTCTGACTCCAATCAAGCTCAGTTTATCCAAGAGTACCAGTACGTGTGAGTATCTGGTCACATTCAGCTCTTGACAATAGTTGATCCAAGGCGGTTGCAATCTAGGTTAGCCGGCGAATACACGCTAGTGGCTGTGATTTGTGAGGAACCCATGTGTGCATGCGTATCGCTCATTTACAACGATTCCTCTGTAGGTCTCCTTTTTTACGACACTGCCATCGCATTCTCCCAAGAATACACAGTCGTCTGGAGTCGTAGGGTCACGGGAGCCAGCGCTATTTACATAGCTCTCCGTTACTCCAACATGATGTCTGCGGTAATGACCCTTGCCGAACTTGTTGCACCATCCTGCACAGTAAGTCGCCATATGAGTTATGCTGATTTTTCTTGCTCACATCGTGCTACTCCAGACGTGAGGCTTGAATCTGTTTTACTTGTTATTCCTATGGTTACGTTATGGTTTTTCTTCTCAGATCGTATCCCTTGAGCTTCGTATCTACCGGCGCTTTGTGCTTGGTGTACCTTTCACAATCAGGTAGGCCTCTCTTTTCTCGTCGTTGGAGCGAATGGTTTTTGAGACGAGAGTATATAATAGCCTTCGGGGCGATCCGTGTCTATGCTATCCAGGGTGGAGCCTGGATGACAGCAGTCGTTGTGATGTCATTGGGGCTCGTTCCCGTTGCCACTAATATCGTAGGTCAGCGTTCTCAATGATAGTATTATTACTGACTGTGACGCATAGTATGGAGCTTCCCAGACCATGCCAGCTGATAATTTGTTGTCCTGCTCGAGCTGGAGGATTTCTGCCACTGAGTCTAACAAGTAAGAGGTGCTACGAATCGTAATGTGTGCGCTGACTGAGTCAGACGAAGATGTAATTTCGACATTTTCTTCAGACGTCGTGTGGAACTATCAAGCTGATTCACGCTCTCTGGCGGTAGTATTCCTCGCCACCCGGGCTTGCGTCTTGACTTCAGAATTTATCGTACTGGTTGCAGCTTGGCGTGCTTCGCATAGTATTAGAAGACTCGTCTCAGCCGGCAGATCGTATAGGATATCCCTCATTTCCTTGCTCTTCAGAGATGGTATGCCATATATGTGATAGTGCTGTGACGGTCCTGACAAGTAATCTAGGTATCATTCATTTTGCGTACGTTGGCCCACGACTGTTAACATGCATCAATTGATGCACATGTAGGGTTGTTCTCGGAATGAACGTTGCCGGTATCGTCTACTTCGTCTTACAGGTACTACTTGAAAAATTTGCCTTATACAAGTTGATTTTCTCGCTATTAGGACCCCGACACAATTTCAACACAGATCCAATTGTGCGGACCGACGTACATCCACCCCATTCTTCACGCTGACATTCGTTCCTTAGGATCAGCTCAGTGATCCTGTGTCGCTTCTTCCTCAATCTTCGACAAGCTGCTAATTCGAACGACGACCTCATCACGAGCTCGGATAGGTCATTCTTTGGTATTACATCAAGGATCATCGGGAACATGGGCGAGATGCTGGAAGAGGATTCTCTCGAAAGCGACACCCTCGTGGGCACCTATTATGGCACCGAAATCGACGATGAAGGAGATCTGTTGCCCTCTGATAATACGAGCGAGGTTGATGTCACGTATCAGTTGTCACAGAGAACACTATTGATTCCTTTGACCCACAGCGAGTAGATGCTCTTCAATCGTTCGAAGGGGACGCTCGCAGCGACCTACCAGCTCGTCTCGGAGATGACAACGACTCGTTCGTACAGGTTGGTACAATCCTCACGGGTCCATTTCTACAAGCATTGAACCGCGATTATTCATTTCTAGCACCCGCCCGTCTTAGTATGATTCATCCGCGTACTCGATCCTCACTATCCACGCATGGTCAGATCAACTGACAGTCGCTATCACATACTAATACAACAAGCATGTCTCACTGTATACGTTATTGTAGTTCGCTCTGATTATATAGACGCTAGCCGAGTGCTCTGATAATTGAGAATGCATGGACGCCTCTCATCTCCCTGTCATGTATGAGCAATGGCGTTCCTTCAGCCGGAAGTGCGCGCGCTGGTCTGATCCCACTTCTCCTTGCTGCACGTGACGTCATCGCTCCCTCAGTAGTTCGGTAGCGACGAACTCAAATTCCGAAGGCCAAACTCTAGATTATCTTCATGGGAAAAGACGCCAGGATCACGACCAGCTTGCACTCGACCCGAGTAGTACGCAGCGCATCTTGAACCTTACCCATACGCGACTACACTCTTATGTTGTCCGCCTCGGAGCCCACGACGGCGGAAGAGCCGTTCAATGAACCCGACGCTGACGTGGTTATCCGCACATCCGATATGGTCGACTTCTACGTCCACGTCGTGATCCTACGGATCGCATCACCGTTCTTTAAAGACATGTTCAGTCTACCCCAGCCCCGCAGCGGCGGACTTGACGCCCCTGAGATAATCCTGGTGGCGGAAGATAGTAAGACACTCGATTGTCTTCTCAGAATGTCTTACCCAATTGAGGAGCCTCTGCTGACTGACCTCGGGCTCGTGGGGTCCGTTTTGAAGGCCGCTATGAAATACCAGATGGACACCTCGGTCAAGAAGTTGCGGAGAATGCTCTCTGCCTTCAGTAATCCTCTTCGCGTATTCACCATTGCCTGCACCTGCAGGCTCGAGAAGGAGGCGCAGCTTGCCGCCCAGGAGTGGGTGGAGGATCAGCAGTCCGCCGTCACGGACTACATTGACGAGATGGACAGCATTCCCGCAGGGTCGTACTTCCGACTCTTGCATTTTCACAGCGCGTCTCGCGCAGGAAAAGCTGTGCCCGAAGGGTATCGTTTCTGCAGCCCCGCAGCGGCTGCCGCTCCTGAGGCTGCGGACGCGGTGACCACTGCCTTCGTCATCCCTCCTCCCTTCGATGTCCCAGCGTCGCCCACAGATGTCATTGTCCGCTGCCTCGACGCTGACTTCTACGCCGATCGCGGTGTACTCCTACTCTCGTCTCCGAAGTTGAAGGCGATGCTCAATGACCCTGAGCTCAAATCGGAAGGCGATCGCAGCGTGATATCCCTGCGTGAACGCCAGGAGGTCCTCCTCATCTTGCTTCAGCTCACCTACCCCGGTACACTCCCCGAGCTGGACGACTGGCACATGCTGACAGCGGTCGTCGAGGCCGCCGGAAGGCTCGAGATGACGCGCGCGGCCGAGCTCGCGAAGAAGCAGTGGATCTCGCAGATCGAGGCGCATCCCCTCCCGTCGTACTTCGTCGCGACGCGCAACGGCTGGGACGAGCTCGCGCACGCCGCAGCAAAGCATGCGTTGCTCATTTCCGCCGACGAGTATGTCCCCGAGATGGAATCCGTCGACGCGCGCTCGTACCGCCAGTTCCTCCTCTACCGCCAGCGCTGCCGCGCGCTCGTCACTGTGGCGCGCCGCCAGATCGTCGCGGACCGCAACGTAGGCAAACAAGAGGCGTACGACGTGTTCTTTGACGAGCGTGAGCGGGGCATGTCTCTCGACTACACGTTGCACCGTGCGTGGGCGCTGTGTGGCGCTGCGTCTGAACCGATGGACCCGCCGAGGCAATCGGCGTCGGCGGCGAACGCACCCGCAGCCGGGCTGGGGGGTGCGTGGCCCGCCATTGTGGCCCAGCTCTTCTCGGTGCGGAGCTGTCACTCCGGGGAAATGCTCGACATCATCTACTCCTGCGAGGAACACGGCGGGGGTGCTGTGGCGGCTATCGACCAGATGCCGGTGAGTATCGCAGATGCTACGAGGAAGTCTCGCCACTCACAAGAATCTCAACAGATGACGGTGGAGGATGTCGACTAGAGAACTCGGCATGCGGTCTTCTCCCCACGGACAGATTGAAGTGGCAGTGTCCCCGTCCACGCGTTACGCTGCCTATGTCGTTCCAGAATGATTCTCGCGCACGCTGACTGTACTAATAGCCACCATCTAAATTCGGAACTGCCCTTTCACCGATTCTCCGTGTTCCCACCTGAACGGCTTCCGCACTGATCGGAGACGACTTCAGGCTTCAAGTGTGGCGACTTCGACTCTGAGGGCATGCTAGCCACTCATGTGAATCCTCGGGGTTGAAGAGGTCTCTTTTAGCGGTATGAAGTTCTAGCAGTTACGATGACAACACCGTGTTGCTCAATATGGAAGGAGGAGCCATTATCAGGTCAGAGACAAAGACTGAACTTGACGAACTCGGAAGAATGAGCTGAAAATCACACGAGGTAACGTTGCGCACTCGCCACTTAGCATGAGAGCACCGCTGCCGCCTCGCTAGTGCAGTGAAACATGTGTACGCCCAGTTTACATTGTTGAGACACCATGGATAATAGGTTCCTGGCGCCACTATGCAGCCAGCGTCGTGTGAAGGGCATGCGGTGAGTCTCTCGCGAGCCACTTTACTCTCGATGTGGCTGCAGTCGCGTTGCCGGCAAGTTATGGATATATAAGCATTGCCGTGCAACTCTTATGAGGCACTCATCCTCTCTGCTTTCCTTTCCTTACAAATCTTGCAGCTCAACATCATCATCTACGCGACGCACGCAGCCACCATGGAGAACGGATGGATGCGCGGCAAATTTTCCGACTTGGCGCCACTCGGCAGTGTTGAGTCACTCTTCCCCCCTGTGGCTTACACTCTGGACCACCAGCCGCCCAGACAGCCTGTCCAACCCCTCGCGTACGATGACGATAACGTACAGATCCCCGCGCACAAACGGCCGGCGGAGGAAGAGGTGAGTTCATAGCCCTTGTATATAGCCACAGCGCACCCCATGACCGGTCGCATAACAGGTATCGCAGCCGATTCACAGGACGCTGCGAGACAACAATTATGGTATTCATCCCTGGGCCACGTACAAAGATATCACTCGCGCCCCGCCTGCAGAGTGGCCTCGTGAGCCCTCTCCGCCTGTGTTACAAGCTAACACTGCCGGCCAGGGAACAGCATCCCGAATTAGCGTTACAGCCAAGCACCGCCAGGCAGCCATCGCAGACGTGCCTCAACCTGTCGCTGGTTCGTCAAACAGCGTCCCTGGAGCGGCTACAGCGGGAAGAAGTTCAGTTGGCAAGCGATGTTTCTGCTTTTTCTGCGGCAGCAGTTTCGCATCCTTTAAGAACAGGCGCGAACATGTCGCCGCCCACTGCAGAAGTGACGAACGGGGGCCACTTTATTGCCCGTGCTGCTGGGCTGAGTTCCCGAACGTGAACTTGGTAGTGAAGCACGGTGTCGTCCATGGTCTGAGTCCCATGCAGATGGCGAGGATGATGGAAAATGCGTATGAGGCCGCCGCTGAACGGCGACGCTTGTGATAGTTTTTCGTGTCGGTTTCATAATTGTACTTATGACTTGTATTGACGAGCGGACGGGCGGACCTCTCAGTGTCTGGCACTGCGAGAGGAGTCCGAGTCGTTCAATAGATGTTCGAGCTTATCTCATTTTTTGGAGAGCCAGTACTTTATGAGTATAAGTTGGGTACCGAGTGAGTGGCCAATATAAATCGGAAGTGTTTGAGAAGTGTGAGCGCACACAACTTGCTGGTGCCACTGGATATCGCTGTTAGCGCTACCTTGACACGTCATGTCACGGGCACATGATGTGACGCACACGCGTCAGACGCTCGCCATTTGCCCTCGATGACCTGCACCCGACGGCTCAAGAGTCGAGAGAGCCGGTATGCATGACTAACTGCTCTGAACCTGGACAGCTAAGTGCCTCCCTCACCAATTAGCCTCGCACTACGATGTCCGTCGATACGCTTCAGAGAATATAGGTTCCGGCTACACGTGGAAGCCGCAAGTTTACTGGCAGACGGAGAATTACACGGCACGACACGTGAGCGCCTGGACTGGCGTCCGTTTCGTCGCAAATCTCCATTGTAGCTTTGCGGATTCATCTGGTCGTCGAGTCTCTACATCGAACGTCTGAACGTCTGACCTCTCATTCAGTGTTCTAAGTGGCTACGAGGTCAAGTTGCGAATGAGGTCCACACCATGCGTTGTTTCGACAAGGATTATCTCCTGCGACTGTGTAGCGGACATTATAGCTGGTGTGCGACGCTACTTCCCGGCACTGACTGAACTCTGTTATGAACTCTAGATTATCAGCCTGAGAAGGGCGTGTCCATCAAGCAGCCGGCCCCTATAGAGCTGTACGAAGCGCTGGGTTCCTTGTATTCTCGCGATCCGATACACTGCCTGAACGCACGACATCGTCCTTTCCGTTTTCCAGCCCGCCAAGACCAGATGTCGTCGTGCGCAGAGACCCCCGCATCTCCTTCCTTCACCAGCCCCAATGCAGACATCATTCTACGGACGTCCGATGGCGTCGACTTTCATCTTCACAAGCTTGTGCTTGGTCTAGCATCGGACTTTTTTGGCGGGATGTTTGGACTGCCCCAGCCAGCGATCGACGCTGTCGATGCTCCCTCGAAGCCGATCATCCCCGTCGAAGAGACGAGCACCGTCATGGACTGTCTGCTGAGGATGTTCTATCCCGGCGTCACGGCCCCAAAGCTCGAGGACGTGAGCTCCGTAGGGCCGGTCCTACTTGCCGCTCTCAAGTATGAAATGAAGGAGCCCGTAACGAGGTTGCGGGTCAAACTCTCTACCTTCGAGGATCCTCTTCGCGTGTTTGCGTTCGCCTGCCGGTGCAGCGAGCTGGAGCATGAGGCGCGCCAGGTTGCTGTGGAATGGTGCGAACAGTCCACAGCGCTCATCACCGACTATGTGGAAGAACTGGACAACATACCCGCCGGCTCGTATTTTCGCCTGCTGCATTTCTACACCATGTACCACGCAGGAAGCATCCCGGAGGACTACTTGCTTTGCAGCCCGCAACTATCGCGGTCGCGGACCAGTGACGCTCCTGGCAGCAAGGACTGCACTGTTCTTCCGCCATTCGACAAACCATCATCGAACTCGGATGTCATCATACGCTCCTCCGGAGGCTCTCCCGAGGATGTTGACTTCTACGTCAATCGCGATATTCTTTCTTTCGCATCTGCCAAGATATGCAAGCTCCTTGATGATACCTCGACGCCCCTCAAAAAGGCGCCCGAGGGACATTGTATTCTGCCCTCACCGAGCCCTGCGAGGATCGTGCATCTTCTCTTGCAGCTCACGTACCCTTTCGTCACACCCGAGTTCCAGGATTGGGAGACGCTGACGGCTGTTGTCGAGGCGGCAGAGTCGATGGGGATGGTGAGGGCGGCGGAGGTCACGAAGAAACGGTGGGTGGAGCAGATCGAGGCACATCCCCTGCGCTCGTACTTCGTCGCCATGCGTAATGGCTGGGCCGAAGAAGCGCACACTGCGGCCAAGCACGCGCAGCTCGTCTCCGTCGACGAGTACGTGCCGGAGATGGAGACCGTCCCGGCGCGCACCTACAGGGACTTCCTCAGGTACCGCCAGCGGTGCCGCAGCATGGTCGTCCGGGCGCGCCGGGAGGTCGTCAGCAATCATGATGCCGACGAGCAGGCCTACGCCGCGTTCTTTAGCGTGGACGACGCAAAGTCGATGCTGGATTACATGTCCCATCGTGTATGGGTGCTGTGCGGCGCCGCGGCGGGCTCGTCGCTTCCACAGAGGAAACACCACTCGAAGCCGCTGTCGGCAACAGGCCTCGACGGTATGTGGCCTGTGATTGTGGGCCAGCTGCTCGCGGCCTGGACTGGCAGCTGGAGCAACATGACGAATATTGTGTATCGCTGCGATGAGCTTGGTGGGGCTGTAGCAGGTACTTTAAACAAGATGCCCGTAAGTCTGAACGGCACGGGAGGGAGTTTCGTCGCTCACCAGATATGTCAGGTTCTGTTGGAAGCTGCCGAGGTCGTTGATGAGACGTCTGCCCCAGACACCCAAGCTTGAAGTCCGCAGCAGTGGCCAAGTAGATCCTCACTGTTCTTCACACGTAAATCAAATCCCACAAGGTTCAGATATTGTCCGTACACGTAGACAGACGTGTGCGAGCAATTTAATACATCGCGTTGCGACGAGTCCGAGATTGTGGGTTGCTCACGACGAAGAGAATCATCCAGCTTCGTGCCTGCATGGGCGAGACAATACCTAAGCTCCTCGTTACTGATACTGCCATTTCCTCACGCGACGAGGCTAGTGCGAATATGATGGCATTTTTCAAGAAGCAGAGCCCGCTGAATACCATGCCGACTTTCATTACTGGGGTGCGACAGCTGCGATGTCCATACAGGACACTCGCGCAAAATTGCGTGCGCCCACCAGCTCCAGTTGAAGATTTCAAGACTGAGACAGCTGTCGTACCATCTCGTACCTCGGTGAATGCGTCAGCTTTCTGTATCGTTCGAGACCAAATATTTGAGCCCAAGCCATACAGATGGCCAACGAGTAAGAAATCTGCCCAGTTCATTTTCGCCTGCTTTATGTTGTAGGATCCGAACTTTTGCAGGTCATTGAAGGCGTGTTTGAGAGCTCGTGTGAGGGAGGTTGTACGGCGTCATCCAGAAAGAGACGGTCGTGGTTTGGGTCACAGTTCCCGAAAGCAGCCGAGGACGCCGGCGATGGCGATGGCGATGATCATGAACCGCGTCTCGACACCAACGCCCACCATAACTCGGAGTCTCGGACAGCAGAAATTTGCCATTGAACCATCCAGCGCTCTCAAAGTCGGCCGATATGGCCCCCCGCGGCCAGCAAAATTGTTCACCATCCTGACCAGCCCAGGCCGTGAAAACCCCACGGCTATGTTCTCATCGATCTCCAACACACACGAACCATGCTGTCGTCTTGCCTGAACTCGATAAATCGGAGGGCACCTAAGACCCGTCTATGTCTAGGCAGCCACCGAAGATGGATGAGTGTACGCCCTGACGAAGGGATATCTACCAACGGTGAGCAGCAGATATATCTACGAATCGATGGTGAGGCTGAGGACGCCGTGGAGCCCGCAAGAAAGTGACCATCCAGCACCTGCATAGCCTTCGCGAGAAGGGTACTCCTATCACAATGCTCACGGCGTACGACTTCCCCACCGGCCGTGCGTGCGAGGCTCACGGTATCGACATCACGCTCGTCGGCGACTCGCTCGCGCAGGTCTGTCTCGGATACGACGCAACGACGCGCCTGACGCTCGACGAGATGCTCCACCACTGCCGCGCCGTCGCCCGCGGCAGCAAGGCGCCCTTCCTCGTCGCGGACATGCCGTTCGGGACGTACCACGCAGGCGCGGAGGACGCAGTGCGCAGCGCGGTGCGGCTCGTGCGCGAGGGCGGCGTCGAGGGCGTGAAGATCGAGGGCGGGCGGGAGGTCGCAGACATCGTGCGGCGGCTGACCGCCGTCGGCATCCCCGTCATGGCGCACGTCGGGCTGCTGCCGCAGCGGCAGGCGCTCCTCTCAGGGTACAAGGTGCAGGGGCGGGACGCGGACTCTGCGCGCGCCCTGGTCGACAGCGCGCTGGCTCTGGAGGACGCAGGGGCGTTTGCGATGGTGTTGGAAGCCGTCCCGCGCCCGGTCGCGGAGCATATCACACGATCCCTCCGGCGCGCACCGACGATCGGCATCGGTGCGGGCTCTGCGACCGACGGGCAGGTGCTCGTATGGGACGACCTCATGGGCATCTGGGACGGGCATAAGGCACGCTTCGTGCGGCGCTTCGGCAACGTGAAGGACGAAGTCGAGAGTGGCATCAAGGCGTACATCAAGGCAGTGCGGGAGAGAAGCTTCCCAGACGACACGGAGACCTACGGCATGCGCGAAGGGGAATTAGAGAAGTTCTTGCAGGCGGTTAACAAGGACGCACCGTCGTCCGGTGGGCAGGAATAAAGGGCGCGGTAACGTCGTCCTCTAACGATTATTGGAGTATGTATCGTGGGCTGAATCGAACACATCGTTATTCTTCCTAGCATCTATAGGGTAGGCCTTCACGCAAGCGCCGCTGCGGTATACTGACGACAACCTTCCTCCATTTCGCAGGACTATAGTACACTTCCATGAAATATCCGAGCCTATGGCACAATGTGGATGAGATCTGCCGATCGACGTACAAGCGAAAGCGTCCGGCAGAGAAGAAGGGGAAAGTATACAGTCCGCCTGCGCGCATGAAGGGAGTCACCGCCGTACGTCCCGCTTCCCCCCATACAGCAGCGCGCACCGGTAGGATGGCCGGAAGGCCGGGATCGCTGTCGTCGCGTCAGCGCGGAATGTCCAGAACTGTGTTATGACGCGCACCTGCTGGTGATGCCCATGAGCTAACGCTCACGCTACGGACATGGGCCTCCGGCGTTTGTGCGTCGGGTGGAGGCGTTGCCGGGCCCTGCCCCGTCTCCCGCATGCTGTGTGATGCGTCCGACGATGACTGTGACGGCGTTGCGGACGGCGTGCGAGGAATCACGATGGGGTTGTCCCATGATAGGCCGTCCATCGCCAGTGGCGCAGGACACGCGCCGCTGTCGCTGTGCTCTTGGGCAGCGACAATGTCATCGTCGTCGGCAACGATGATGTATGACGGAAGCGTCCAGTGGTCTTCCGACATAGCGGCCACATCGGTGTCGATGGGCGGGGGGAGCTTTACTCGCGTGCTCAGACTCCGCCGGCGTTTCTCGATACCATCCGACGCGTTCTTGCTCGTGTGACTTGTGCCCGCATTATGTTGTCTGCTGTTGTGCTCTAGCAGCCGCGTCAGTCTGCAGCCCTCCACCGGCGCAGCGACGTCTGAGGCCGGGGCCACCCCCGCTGCAGATGTGGAACCATGGACGGCGTGCACCCTAGACGCGTCCACCGTTAGCCACAGACGCGACGCGCGCAACGCGATGTCTTACTCAGGGTGCTGGTCCATGGTGGAAGCGGCCCCTTCAACCGAGGAAGGCTCCGCGGTCGCGTCGAGGTGGGCGTCGGGTCGCTGCGCCCACATCAATAAGGTGAGCGTTATGTCTCGACACGAGTCAACCAGTCACACTGACGCTGTGCTCAGCCTTGCTTTCCGTGGCCCTTCGCGACAGGAAGCTGCTCGACGGGCCCTCGAAGAGCCAGTTCAACGCCGAGTAGATGCGCCGCGAGCTGCTGCTGCAGGAGCGCGTCTCCTCGCGTGCACTCGTGTTGCGGAACCAGTGCGAAAAAGACATGGTCAGGACGTGATGTTATAGGTGAAGGATATCTGCTCAGTGATACTTCCACGCGATAAGCAGGTGGTGGTTCGGAGCAGAGAGGCAGAGGCAGGTGCTGTGTCGCGTTATAAGCTTGGGCCCAGTGGCCCTCTTTGTTTCTCAGGACAAAGCGCCGTTGCCGCGTGCGTTCTGTGGCGGGCGCGCTCCGCTTTGCCCTCTGCTCTCAGCTCAATGCAATTCTTCAGAGGATTCTTTGACTGTGGTTAGCCGAGTAGGCTGCTATATAAAGCAAAGTTTAACGGAATCACAGTAGATCATGTCGTCTTGCGGACGCGTCAACCAGACTGCGCTGCACAGATATAAGCAAGTAAGTTATATCTGTGGTAGACGAGATCTATGATTCCATTCCGATGTGCACCCAGATAGCAAGACATCCTAGCTTAAGGGGAGATCTAATTCATACCACGGCGTCGACATTGCATGCGCTAGTCCACGACAATGACAGACTGGTGGCCGGGTACGAGAGGTCCTGAATTCACGAGTGCCTGAGATTATTGTACAATTTAGGGATTCCATACAATAGCTTGTAAAGTACATGTTGAAGTAGGGTCAGAGCGATCCTGTGATCCTCTATGATCTTCGGTGTAGCTGAAGGGACTAAGGAGTGTACAATGTGCTACAGCGTCAACACGGTGTGTTGGAGTGACAACAGGCGATAACAAAAACGACGCACAACATGAACGAACGGGCCGGGGGAGTGAAAATCCAACACAACAAACCAAGAGTTGACGTGCCCCGGCCGTGGATTACAGCATCAATCAATCAAATGACATAGACGTCTTCCTTCTCCAAGCTGTACTCCTTGTCGAGCTTCCGGAAGTACTCGATCCGCGCGGCACGGGCGCGGGTGCGTTCCTTGCACGCAGAATCAGCTCTCAGTACTCAGTACGCGCGCGGAGGCACATCCGAGACTGGCCTACCTCCTCTTCCTCCGTGTCCAGCTCGGCCTCGTCGCGTGCCCGCTTCTTGCCCTTGTCCTGCGCAGCACGGCTCGTCGAGCGCGATGCGCCTGCGCCCGTTGCCTTCCCGCGTCCGCGACCTCGACCTCGCCCTCTGCCTGTTCCTCTGCCGCCACCACGACTAGTACCGCGACCACGACTAGTACTGCGCCCCCTCGCAGTACCGCCACGCGTAGCCTTCTTTGTCGTGGGCTCGCTCTCCCCTCCACTTTCGCTTTCGCTTTCACTTTCACTTTCACTTTCCCTGCCGCTCTCACTTCCGCTTTCACGCGCGGCCTGCACCTGCGCCCGACCCCTGCCGCGACCGCGATCCTGGCCTCTGGCAGGTGCTGCAGTACTTCGGGTAGGCCGTTTGACAGGCCGCTTTGGCAGCATGCTTAGCGCCGCCTCCATCGGATCCTCGTCGCTCTCCTCCGCCGGGCGCTTCCTCTTCTGCCTCTGCACAGGCTTGACCTCGACTGCTCGTTGCCGACCTGTCTCCTCCCCTGCAGGTGGTAAGGCACTCGCACGCCTTGCACTACTCTCGCGTCTTGCACTGCTCGCATGCCTTGCATTCGCCGCACGTGAGGGCGACGACCATTCTTCTGCACCCAGGCCCCGGCTGCGTGAACGGGTCCGAGGGACGCCCGTTACAGCGAAAGGCTCGGCCAGCTCCGAGCTCCAGCTAGAGGAAGACGACGGCAGCAGCGCGCGCTTGCGTGCGCTACGCGGCTTGTGTGGCGTGCCGAGGGGATCCCTCTGTGGCGAGGATAAGGTCGAGGACGCCGGCTGCAGTAGATTCGGCACAGTTATCGTCGGCGGCGCGTTCTCCTTGTCCTCATCGGCCTCCACATTCTCGTCGGCGTAGTCGTCCTCGGCAAACGCCCAGTCTGCGACCTCCGTCGACGGCCCAGCACGCGGTTGCATCCGCGGACTGCTGATGTCGAGATACAGGTCGTCAATGTTGTGCTCATCCTCTGATGCAGGCGTTGGCAGTTGCGCGGGACTGTGAGTAGAGGGCACAGGTGAGGGAGACGGCAGCGCGATCGTGAGAGTGCCAAGTGGACGGCGGGGCACAACCGGCTCCTTGCCCTTGCCCTTGCCCTGGGGAGGCGCACTCGGTTGACGCTTCGCTTTCAGCTTCCTCTCCGCAGCAAGGATACCGAAGGGGTCATCTTCCTCTGAAAGCCTGTCTTGTTGAGCGGAGACCGCAATTGCAGGCTTATATGCGGCATTGTTCTCCTTGTCCTCTTCTTCCTCGTCTACTTCAGCCCCCTCTTCCGTATACATATCGAACCCGGGGTCATAATCTGGTTCTAGTTCCGGCAGCAGCGAAGGTTCAGACTCTGCAGGAGGTGAAGACGGCGGGAGAGGCGATGGCTCGCGCGCGGCCGCAGGCGTGGAGGCCTGCGCCTCACGCGTCTCTCGCATGCGGCTTGGAAGCCTGTGCAGCGGCAAGTGTGGCCGGCGCCCATGCAAGGGCAATGGCGTGGACTGTGCAAGGAGCAATGAAGATCGCGCCCTCGCAGTAGACCTCTTCGGTGTGGGGCTCGCCAAGACCTCGTCCGTGTTGGCGGGCCGAAGTAGCGTGCGTACGCGCTTGCGGTGTGGTGAGCGCGGGACGACCTTCGGGGTGCGAGGCTCGCTCGGCGCGTGTGGCACCGAGTCAGAAAGCACCTTGAAAAGACCCGACGGCCGGCGGATCTTGATGGGTGAAGGGCTCACGGGCGCGTCCAGCTCTAAACCTTGTTCAGTTTCGGGAATATGTCGAACATGACGCGGTTTGGGACTTGGTAGCATGCGCAAGGGCGAACTCTGGGGTGCGGTGGGCGGGGCATGTCTGACGACGGGCCTTGGCGGCCCTAGCGAGCTGCGGATAGCTCCAGAGCGAGGATTCTCCTTTGCCCGTGTGAGCGATGGTGGCATCCGCCCCCCGACGTGGCTGTCGTCGGACGCTATGGCGACAAGCTTCGGAGTAAGCTTAAGTGTTTGTGGCGAGGGTCGTGAAGGACTGCCACGGATGCGCTCCGCGGGTGTAGGCGAGGGCGGTAGCGAGACCTCATTCTCAGAGTCCAAAGGCGATCCCCCGGCACGGATTTTCAGAGTTTCCACGGCTTTACGCGCAGCGGCGGTGAGCAAGCTCCCCTTCGCAGGCGGCGCATGGGAGAGAGACTTGACTGATTGCGGAGTGTTTCTGGCTGGTGTTTTGTCTCGCAGAGCCAGTCGCCTGCGAGACCGCATGGCTTACAAGTGTGAATCTCGTCGATGTATGTCCTAAAAGTCGTGGGTTTGTCTTCGATCTGCTGTAGCCTGAGATCAACCACGTACAGAAATGAGGATTGAGACTTACTCCCTATTGGCCAACCAATCCAAGTAAACTTACTGGTTGTGTGTAATCAAGAACGGCCCTGACGGCACGGGAGCGAATGGTGGATCGAAGACAAGAGCACTTTGAGCCGATTCCCGAACTCGACTTGCGGAATGCGCGCAATGTCACGTGAGTCACGCCATTACATTATACCGGTCACACCTTCTGTCACACCACTGACCTTCAGGTGCCAAGAGATAATAAGTATTTGCTCTTGAGGCTAGGAACGAGTGGAGATGGCGGGAGATCAGCTAGTTATAGCTCAGGATACACAAAGACCTACAGTAGATGTTCGTTTATCCTCTGCGTTGTCTCAGTTAGCGTCCTGCTCTGTCGTCTGGAGAAGTTTATATCGCCGCTGAGAGACAAAGTATGGAGCAGAAAAGAGTACTGGGCGAACGAGACAGGGATTCGCCCCCATATATGCGCAAAAATCAAGCTTAGTGACCTGACGGAAATGACATCATAACATGATATCACCGCGATCGGCAAGCAGTGTCTGGCCATATTGGGCAATGGTATTACCAAAGATGGCAGTTTAGAGGTCGAAGCTTTCGGCGGTAGCAGCGCACAACAACTGTTATTGCTTCGATACTGTTTGTACGGATTTACAAAAAAATGAGAACCTTATCCCCGGGACCGCACACTGGATCTTGCAAAGCGCATACACTTGAAGGATAAGTAGCTGCTGTACCCGACCCGTGGTGAATCTCCATCAGCATAAACGAGAGCCGCACTCCAGAAATGTATTAGCAGTGAGGTGATATACTCAGAGGATTGACTATGATACATGAACAGCGATAATGCCGGGCTAAAAGACCCATCCTCTCTCGGGGCTCGCATGTAAGGACCACAAGTCCCCCAACCCATGGCCCACCTGCACTACTCTTGATCTTGTCGAGTGACAGACGGATCCGTAAACGAGTGGTTACACCGTGTGCACACGTAAAACAGTATCATGCGCGTCTCCTTCCGCTTCGACTGGTCTTGGAAATATACGGCACTGTGGCCGCAAGCACCGTGAGTATTGCTCTCTCGGGAGGAAGGAAATGAGACTGATGTGCACGTACTCCTCATTTCCGCATTTTGGACACGGCATATCGGCATGCGCCTATTGGGGACGGGACTCAGTAGATCCAGGTGGCAGGGACAGAGCAGGCTTACCAGCGTCGGGTCATTCATCAAGTCTGTCACTACACCCATCTGCTCCCTGGAAGTCCAGTCAGTACCAGATGCTCAGAGAATTCGCCATGGAAGTAGCAGAGAAATCAGGGTCCAGTCTGGGATGCTGCTCCGGCCTGCGTTGCGTCTGACAAGATACTCACTTGGTCACGGTCAGCAAATCGTTCCTGTATACACACTTGTTCTCGCCAATCTCGTCGTAAGGGCAGATACGGCAGGCGTAGACCATTATACGGCGCTGCTGGTCCGCTTTCGGGTATAGGAGGTTGTTACATTCCGAGCAGAAATGCAGGGAGGACTGCGGTTGAGAGCAGCGGTCACAATGTCGTGGAGAGGTATACAGAAGCACAAGAGCAGACCCAGGTCAGCTATCTCTTCGGTTAATAAAGCAGACAGCAAGAACCGACCATTTTGTAAGTGGCGGTACAGAGTTAAGACGCAAGCAACAGTAAACGAGCCTGAGCGCCTGCATAGGGGCCTGAGTCACGTGGATTAAGGATTTCTTCCCTTAGCGCCGGAGATCCTCCTAGAAAGTGAAATCCTTTCGAGCACATTTCTGTTCATTTTGGCCCTTCACAAGGCTGGTGCTCCCGGCTTCTAGCTCGCAATAGCGTTCTACAGTTATAATTCTCACATCACCACTCGCTATCAAAATGCTCTCAGACGACTCCGAGGGGGAGGACATCCATGAACTGACCATCAACGCGCACTTCGCCAAGGCGTACGAGTACAGGAAGGAGCGCGAGGAGCTTGCGAAACGTGAGCTCAATTCGTCTCTCACGGTCGTTGGTGTGTGACATGACTAGGCAGTCAAGGAGAAGTACGGCTCGGACATCGACGAGGACGAGGCGGATGAAGAGGACTCGGAGGAGGCAGAGTCCGAAGACGAAGATGGCGAGGAGCTCACGCCGGCGGTCGACGCCGCAATATTACGGACGCTCGCGCGTATTAGACGCAAAGATCCGTCTATTTACGAGCAGGGCAAGAACGTATTTGATGGTACGTGGTTTACTGCATGTACACACATTGTTGTCGACATTTTCTCAGAGGAACGTGAGAAGCTGGGCGACGCGGCTCCTGCAAAGCGCATAAAGAAGGACAAGGTACGCTCTTACGGCCTGAGCCTCTCATATGCCTCCGCTCATTGATGTCCAGTCGAAACCGATTACTATGCGCCAACACGCTCTGGCATCTGCACTGAACCCGGACTCGCGGACACCGTCTCCAGAACCGCTCACACATGCTGATGAACAGGTCGCTCTGCGCCAGGAAACGATTGCTGCCTTTCACACTGCTGTGGACAAGGAGGTCGACGATGACTTTCTCATACCGCGAGAAAAGACTAAGGATGAGATCGAGCGCGAGGAGGAGGAGTACCGTGCATTCTTGGAGCGGGAAGTTGGCGATGACCTGAAGGAAGTTGTCACCCTGGACGTGCCAGGGGACGCAGAGATGAAGGTCGAAGAGGCTGCAGAGGAGCAGCAGAAGAAGAAAAGGAAGAAAAGGAAGGGCGAGGGGCAGCTGAAGAAGAGCGAGGCAGAAGGGGATCAAGAGTTTCTCATGAAGTGCGTCAGATCGCGCATACTTGCTGTCACAGCACACTAAATAGGCTCTCCAATCAGTTACATCCTCAATCGAGGATGGATTGACCACTCTGCTCGCCGTCTACCAACGTACAAAGAGATCACCTCAAAGTCTAAAAAAGGGAAGGGGAAAGCAAAGGAGGAATTTTCCGATGCTCAGTCTGATGACGAGAGTGGAAGTGGGTCAGAAGGAGAGGGGGGCGCTGATCAGATGGGAGAGCTTAACGAGGATGAGTTCGACGAAGTAGCTGATCGCTTCGAGAGCTCGTATAACTTCAGATTCGAGGAACCGTGCGTCTGCATCGTGCTTTACTCCCAAATCCGTGCTGACCGCTTTATACAGGGATGCAGCTACGATTGCACGCCATCCGCGAAATTTACCATCACTGGTTCGACGGCAGGACTCATCGCGCAAGGAGGCACGCGAGAAGCGCAAGACCCGCAAGGAGGAGGAGCTGCTCAAAAAGAAGGAGGAGGTGAAGCGGCTGAAGGCGCTCAAGATGAAGGACATCCGCGCCAAGCTGGAGATGATCGGCAAGGAAGGAGGGAAGAGCCTCGAGGAGAGCAAAGCGTTGCGGGAGCTTGACCTCGATGGCGACTGGGATCCCGAGAAGCACGATCAGCAGATGGCCGAGCTGTACGAACGCGAGGCGGATGCAGATGCGATAGACGAGGAGAAGCCACAGTGGGACGATGACATCGACGTTGCAGATATTGTACCTCTGGAAGACGAAGACGAAGACGAGGGTAAGACGAAGAAGAGCAAGAAGAAGAAGAAGAAGAAACATGATGAGAGCGGGATGGACGAGGGCGGCGTAGACATCGACGAGATGGATGCAGAGGTGCAAAAGTCGTATATCGGTGACGACGAGGAGTGGGATGGATCGGAGGAAATGAGGAAGCGCAAGCTGGAAGAGTATATGGATGAGCTCTACGGCCTTGAGTTCAACGACATGGTACGTTCTCGAGATGAGATTTATTGGACGTGGTCTCACCCTGTGTCCAGGTCGGCGACATGCCCACACGCTTCAAGTACGCCAAGGTCCCATCGCAGACGTACGGCCTGACACCTGCCGAGATTCTCATGGCAACGGACGCGGAGCTCAACTCATACGTCGGTATCAAAAAGTACGCACCGTACCGCAAGGATGGAAAGGGCAAGCAATGGGACAATACGCGCACTGAACGGCTCAAGGAGCTCAAGGACTCGTTACGGGATCGCGGCGTCATGCCCAACAATGCAGGCTCAGATGCACGAGCCGAGAAGGTCAAGAAGCGGAAGGGACGGAAGGAGCGTCTACGGGAGCGAGCCGCTACCACTGCGACGAATGGTGAGACGGGTGAGGGTGATGCTGTGCCGGACGAAGGCGCAGACGCGATGCACGAGAAGTCGGGTAAGAAGGCGAAGAAGGCGAAAGATGGCCACCGTGACGCTGAGGAAGAGGAAGACGGAGCAGTGGGCGGCGAAAACGGGGAGTCAGTGAAGAAGAGACGCAGACGGCATAAAAGGTCAGGGCACCACGAAGACGAGTCGTAGTGGCGTTGTTGTGATTGTGTATGAATTCCGCTTCGTCTTGACTTCCTTGAGAATACTGCACGGTTTAGCTATTTCCTCCCTGCACCTCAAGACATTTGACGTTCAATCGGATTCATGGTGATACAAACACTAAGCGTTTGTTTGGCACAGCCTGGTATATATCTTCAGCGCGAGCCTCCAATTCCACATATAGGAAGGCTATCTTGCAGAGATTCCGCACTCCCTGTAGAGTGCTTACCCAATTCTAGCACCGCATCTCGGTTGCTTGTCGCCCATCATCACCCTACCTATCAGCGAGACGACCTGATTGACAATGTCGGCAATTGCCTGCAGGCGTTGGGCAGTGATGCCTAAGCTGCAATAGGTGCTATGACTCGCATCATAAGAGCAGTTTCATGGCATCGAACTGACAGCCACAGCGTCACAGGTGAGCGCGCATTGACAACGGTATTCCTGGTAAAGCAACAAGAAGAGCATTTTGGTGTAAAGTTCGACAACGCTTGACAAATCCTCCACAGCCTAATCAGTACGGAGTAATTATGCGATGCATCGCATACACCTGATCTGATCTCGTGTGCGCGATATCGTCTCGCGAGCGCTGTGTTCGACGTCGCGCGCGCACATTGAAACGCGAATCTGTGAAGTAATAACCGATGATGCAGATATAAGGCGGCCATCAATGAGCATCACATACATTGCATACCCCCCACGTAAAGCTCCCATATACCCGCCAACCTCGACGCAAGATGTCGCACATAACCCCATACCTACTAGAAAAACCAAGTAATTCTTCACGCCAGTCCGTTTCGACAAGATCTGGGGCATCTACTTGGGAAACCACCGACCCATCTGACGTCCCTCCGCCTGCATACGAGGAACACTACTCCCCTCCGTCAAATGCGAGTGCTGCATTCAAGGATGCGCCCCATACCGCAGCCGGCTCGTCATACATGCTAGACAAACCAGCAGGCCCGCCCATGCATATCTCGCCCTACGCGCCCCCACCTGACGCGCCGTCCTCGTCGAAGAATGCAGCCCCCAGCATGCACACGGTCCGGTCCTCCAGCTCCACTGACAGCGGCGCGGTTGAGCTGCTCAATCCGCCACCCGCGTCCTTCGCGCGTACGCCGCCACCGACGCTCAGCTACGCCCCCTTCCCGCCGACCGCACTGCTCTCGTACAGCAGCGACCTTGTGGAAGGGTTTCCAGGGCTGGCGCCACCGAGCATCCTGGTGCCCCATCCGTTCGCGGCGCACGACGTGAACGAGGGCGACTGGCTGCGATTTCTCGGGGACATGCAGGCGGCGGCGCACCTCGCGCCCGGGAGCAAGTTTGTGGCGACCATAGCGCCAGCAGCGATGCGGATACCCCTTCCACTCACTGGTACGTCCGGCAATCTCGTTTGCGGCACGGCAGACACTTGAGCTCAGCGGCGCGCAGCCATGCTCGTTTCGAAAGGGATTGATGTACACTTGAAGAACAGGAAGAAGGGGCCCGTCGGCGACGTGATCGACCAGTGGAATCACGTAAGTGCGGTCTCCCGCCGCGGGTGCACGCGTAAAGCTGACCTTCGCGTCCCTGCAGTGCTTCTTCCACCCTCGACGCATGCATGTCGTGCTCGCGCAGGGCAAGATAAGTTACTCCGGACCCGAGGCGCCGCCGCCCGACATGGTGCGGGGTTCCTCCCGCACCGCGCACGCGTTGGCCGAGGACGATGCTTATGAAGACGATAACTACAGCGACCGCGCGTCGGTCATATTTGACGAGGCGATGCAGAAGCCCAAGAGCTGGGGTGCAGCATACAAACACCAGAAGCAGCGCCGGCGGGACTGGAGCCGGTCGACGGGGGAGAAGTGGCGGATCGTTGTCGCGTTCAGAGATTTTGTGCTCTAGCTGAGGTCAACAGTCGGTTGTATTGCACGCCGCATCATCGTGCTGAATTTCGGATGCTCTGATGGTCTGCTTATTGTATGGCGTGTGATGGTTTACTTATTGTATGCTCTTCGTTCGTAATCTGGCAGGCCGCGGCTGTTGTTGTAACGTGAGAACGAATCCTCGTTGCCTGCACTAGTAGGCACCATCAATAAATCTGGATGATATGCTGGGAAGCAGCAACTTCGATGGTGAGTGCAGATGCTATCAAGGTCTTCCGTACTTCTGCATGACGATCTAAGGAAGAAGGCCTGTGGAAATTGGCAATGGTGAAAGTATGGTCGGAATGTTCCCTTACCGCTACTTCTGTTTGTCTGCGAGAGCGGAGTCCTTTGCTAACAGTAGGCACGAGCGAGAATATCAGCCAGTGTGAAGATGGACGAGGATTGAGACATTAGGCGTATATGCTGCGGAACGGAGAATGAGTAGGAGATGCCCGGTAGCCCATGGTGCAACAAAGTGAGATTTGAAAATCATACCTGAATTACAAAGTCTTGGCAGATATATGTAAACGAAAATCCCACCTAGGGATACGACAGCTGAGAAGTATGGAGCCGTCTGACTGTATATGATAAAAGCTCAGCCACGGTTATAGAACCCTGGGAGTTGTATTGGTTTTGTCGATCCTAGCGAAATTGCAATGCGGGCTCGGCGTTGTCTCGGACAACCTTCGGGTAATTGAACTATCGCAAATGCTAACGCTCTACTAGAGTATTCGTGCATGTGAGAGCAAGGTCATTGGTCTTTCCTATAGGCCATGCCGCTCGGGCTCGTGCGCGGGCACCCGAGTCGGTCGGTGTTCACGTCGGACACAACGTGCCTGTCCGATTTCCGCGACATATCAGTCAGGCGAGGTAATTGAGCTCAACTCAGGACCAACATACGGACATGGTGCACGTCTCAAATACGTAATGCCACTGATGAGAAAAGAAAGATGAGCAGAAGGGATGTTATACAGCAAAAGAGTACAAATGCGGCACTCGCCTTCTCGACAATAACTTTTAAGTAGACAGCTGTTTAGACAGAACCTCACCCATTCCCGGGAGTTGGCATTACGGCTGCAAGATAATCAAGCCGGATTCCCCATGAGAGACTCCTACATTTCACGCGAGCTTGCCATGGAGAAAATGCAAGCGCAGTGTACTGTGGCTTACGGGGTTTTGCAAAGCGTGAGTAGATAATGTCATCCGGGATCGCAAATCGGTCAAATCAGATAAGCTTCCTGCCCGGGCCAAACCGCCCTGATGCCCGCCCCGACACTCGTTTTGGTCCGCCCCGGTCAGTGATCCGGTCCCTAGCTGCCGGAGATCCTGTCCCGCCTGCCGCACAATCCTGTCATGAGTAAAGTGCACTCCTGTCCACACATTTAAGAACAGCTCACCCCCTTCATCAAACATTACGCCTGTTGGACTATTCAAATCCTCCAAATAACCCCTACATATTGAAAATACTACATGTAGTACTTCGCATCCCATACCACACGTCTGATCTCGCTCGGTGTCCTCTCGGGCGAACACCAGTGAGGCCAATGCGCGTGAGAACCGGCGACCGTCGCCGATTAGTCAGGTCTAAGAACCATTTATAGAAGTCTAAGTGGGGCGCCCGCCGTAGCTACCCTTGATATCAAATGTGCAGCCTCACCCGCGGTTTGACATTTGATTGGGTGGACATTGAGAAATAGAATAAATGTATTATTGCTTCGAGTGTACGCTTGCAGACCCTTCAGGGGTGCTTGTATTACATAATCACCACTTCGAGCGCATTTTGAGCGCGCGTTTTCCCTGAGGCTGACTAGGTAAGGAAACACGATAGAACTTGCTGAATGCATTTTTCATAGGCTCTGTAGAGGCCCCAAAGTCAGTGGTCGGATGTTCAAAACAATCCTTGGCGAGGGAGGGCTATTTCTAATTGTGTGGACCGGTGTGCAACCTTGATTTGACAGATGCGGTAGGTGAAATGACCGGATTGCGTAATCGGATGACATTATCTATTTTCGCTTTTGCAAAGTCGATCAATTTTGCAAAACACCGTGATCTCGTCTTCCACCGCAAAGACTGTACTTCTGACATTTGTATGACATTATAGATACACATTAAAGTCTACCTATGAAGCCGATTGAAGAAAAATGTATTTGTTGTGGAATGGGAGCCTCAAGACACTTTGTATAGCCTGCTGCAAATTCTTGATAAGACAGATCTACAGTGATTCTAAGTCGTTTTCCCCAATCGGATATCCGATATAGTATGTTCCAGCCATTATTTTCTCAATCCTCCAACCCGATATACTGTCAGCAAACTGGATCGCGGCGTGTGGTGGGTTTGCAAAACGAACGTGACGTTTTCTGCCACCATGCGTGATGTGTTAATCTCCGCTCTCATTTTGATCTGCAGATGACACGACGACAGGCCTGGTCGCGGCTTTTGCCATGACGGAGTCTCAACTTGCCGCCGTGACCCGTGAGTGACAAAGTTTGCAGAACCACCGCAATTTGGAGGCTTCCACCGGCATCTCTCATACAACCTGCATTTCATTACGAATTGCCTTGAAACTTGGTATACACAATGCTAAGACCATTAGGAATAATGCCTGAGTGATAGAACGGTAGCGCTTCTACTCGTTCGAGCGTATTAGTGCAGGCATCAAAATGTTTGCAAAACCCCGTAAGCCACAGTAAAGGGGATTCCTTGCTCGCCATGGCATTAGCCGAGGTCAACGACTTTCGGAGTCTGCCGCCACTACCACTTACCAGCGCCACCGTCTATTCTCCTTGATAGGTTAGACCACCGACCGATTTTATAGGCTATATACTACCTGCTGTTCGGTGGCCAGTGAGCGACTGATTTATTTAACAGATCCACAGACGCGCAGATAATCCCAGCTAATCTGAAGCCCGAGAGGTTGTTCGTCTGACTTCATATTGCGGGTGCGGTATGTCCTGCTCAGGGTCTGTTCCTGGTATGACAGGGGCTCCAGACTGGTACGTTCTCTGCTATATACGCCAGCGTGAGACCATTCTCTACGCTCCACGCTCAAGAGCTACTAGACCGGCAGAAAGACCATTCCACTCTTGCTTTGCTGTCACCGTCAACGCCGTTTGCATCTTCACCACACGGAAGGGACGTGGGAGGATAAGCTGTATTCTGGAGCGATCGCATGCCAACTCGGCAATGTATCGGGTACGCTCTTTCCAGCTAATCCGCAGGGATCGAGCGCCCGTGCGTGCTATAAGCTAGCCACCATGATACACGCGCTCGGACTCCTATATCATCCACCCCCGAGCCTCGGACTCCTATGTCGTCCACCCCCGAGCCTTGGAGAGACATGTCGATGTTCCACTCAACGGCCCCGCCACTCATTCCACCGCCTGACGACGTGACTGTTCCACAGTTCCTGCTTGACAATAATAGGAGGCACCCCACACGGCCAGACAGGCCGCCAGAGGTCCCGTACTTGGTCGACGGGGAGACTGGCAGGGAGGTTCACCATGATGAGGTCAGTATTTTCCCCGTCTTAATCTCTGGATTATCCCGTTATGCAATTTATGAGAGCACGAAGTCTCGGTGCGGGTTCAATTGCTCGTAACCGGCATGCCCATAAATAAGTCATGATTTATCTGCCGTTCCGTCCGACCAAGTATCCAGTGCGTTAATGCAAGTATCTGCGTGCAAAACAGCAGCGAGACGTGGATACTATACTCGGACAGTCCTCCTTACCTATGCGGAAATACGATGTCCTCGCTCAACGAGTCCTCAGTATATCTCTAACAATTCGTGCGATCTCACATGTGTACCACGTATCGCCCCTATCTCGTTGATTAGCGTGACGACTTTCCCCGCATGCCTTTGAAGTGCTCTACACTCTCCTGGTTTCATTGTATTAACAATCGATTCTTATTCAGATAGTGACGCAGACAGATCACTTTGCACGCGCACTGAGACATGTTTGGGGAATTGGTTAGTAAATCATTGAATCCCCATTTGCAGTTGCTAAGGACAAAACATTTTCCCAGGAAAGGGAGATGTCGGTGCGTACTGCGTTTTACCCAACGGTTCTGTAAATAACGGTTGACTGCGCTTGTAGTCGCGCTGTACACGCCAAACCACATTAGTCAGTCTCTGCGCACGATATCCGTGTGCAACCACTATGCTCACGTTCTCTCGCAGACTACCCCATAGCTGTCTGGGCAGCCCACAGGCTTGGCGCCATAATAGCGTGAGGACCTTTCCTCTGGACTCTTAACCACGCCATGACTCACAGAACGCGCGCAGAATGATGAGCCCTACACTTACTACGCCAGAACTAGGTCAGCCTCATTCTGACTCGGCCCCGAAATACTCTGCTGACCTGTTGACATGGTTGGAATAGTCTACCAGCTCCAAACCGCGCGGCCGTCGCTGCTCATTGCGCACGCCGGGAATCTCGCTAATGCGCTCGACGCCACATCAGCCACCGGCCTCGCGCACACGCACGTCCTCGTGCTCGACGCGCACAAGCTCACGGAACCTTTCCCGCTATCGTATACATCCGTGGATGCTGCAATCGGGCATGGCGCCGCGTGCCCCCATGTCCCCGAGTTGCAATTCGCCTCGGGCGAAGCGAAGCGTACGATTGCGGTGTTGTGCTTCTCTTCGGGCACGACGGGGAAGCCGAAGGTAAGCCGTGTCGCTCGGCCGTATTTTTTGGCGCTCTCATTGACGAATTATTGCAGGCGGTCGCGGTATCGCACTACAACGTAATATGTAACCTCGTGCAGATAGCCACATCGAGTGGCCTGGCAGACTCCCGAACACCGCTGCTTGAGCGGCGATGGCGGCCAGGGGATCGAGGACTAGCCGGTACGAACCGAGTATGTTTCATAGGGTGATTTGTTTACTGACATGTTGCACAGTGTTGCCGCTGTATCGTACGTATTTCTGCCGACGACATATTGCGAAAAACATACTTATTATTTGGGCAGACATCTACGGTTTTGTGGTCAATGTAGGCTACCACAATCATGTGCCATGATTATAACTAACGGCAAGAATAACAGTTGCATTACTGTTTATATGCAGGGGTACGTCTTTGCAGTAATCTGCAGTAATCGGTACCAGGACTCACATTCTTAAGATGAGCGTTGTGATCGTACCAAAGTTCAATCATGTGACTATGCTCAAGCACATCGAACAATATCGGATCACGCATCTATTGTGAGCCATACTTTTTCTTCAGACGTAATGACTGGCTGACCCTCGATGACAGTTTCGTTCCTCCACAGGTGGTGCTCTTCTGCAAGGTAATGCTTCACCATTATTCCTCAATTAGGCTCATCAGAGCCTTGGTACATTAGCATCCGTCTACGCGTACATTTGACCTGTCGAGCATACGTTTCTGCATGGTAGCAGCGGCCCCGCTGACTGCAGAGCTGACGGCCCAGATGCTCGGGATTCTGCCAGACATACATCTCGGCCAGGCATATGGTGCGCCGAGCTGTGCCCGGGCTCGTGTGTATGCTTATTGTTTGACAACTAGGTTTGACGGAGACATGTGCCGGGGTCACTATGGTGTGTTCCACTTCTTGCTCGCTCGGCAAACCTGCGTATTCAAAGATAGCAACTACCACAGTTCCCTATTGACAAGAAGGTCGGAACGCTGGGAAGTGCCGGGCGGCTGCTTTCTGGCACCACTGCAAGGGTGGTGAAGTCTGACGGCAGACTGGCTGGTGTGGGAGAGCCGGGAGAACTGTGGGTGAAGGGCGAACAAGTAGCAATGGGCTATTACCGCGATGAGAGAGCGTAAGCGCGCATCACCTAATGGCGGTGTTCTTCCGAGTCTGACATCTTGCTGGAATGTGGGTGCAGGACAAGAGAGAGCTTCATTGACGGGTACGCTGTGGATTCATTCCTGAGGATCACTACGTCTAATCGTGTGGCCCTCAATCACAGATGGTTCCGCACCGGAGATGAGGTAGTCATCCATGCCAACGGCGATATATTCATTACGGATCGCATCAAGGTTCGTACTGTGTTGTTGCGATGAGTGCATTGCAGCCGCAGTTCCAGATATGGCCTAACATCTGATGTTAGGAGCTCATCAAGGTGAAGGGACACCAGGTCGCGCCGGCGGAGCTCGAAGGGCACCTCCTTGGGCATCCCCATGTCGCCGATGCCGGGGTGGTCGGGCTTCCGGACGAGTTCGCGGGGGAGTTGCCGCTCGCTTTTGTCGCGCTGCAGCCAGACATTGCAGCCGCTGTGCGGCGGGATCCGTCTGCCGCGGCGAATATACGCACTAGCATCGCCCAAGTACGTGGATTCTGTCATTCATAGGTTACTGTGTGCGAGTGTTGACGATGCGACGTGGCAGCACGTATCGGAGGCGAAGGCGCCGTACAAGTGGCTCGCGGGAGGGATAGAGTTTGTGGAAGCGATTCCGAAGAATGCGAGCGGGAAGATCCTGCGACGCGTTCTCAGAGAACGCGCGCGAACGCTCCCACGATCTCTTCCAGCTCGGCTCTAGATGAGAAGCTGAGTTGTCTATGTTTGGCTTACAATCTCACCGATAGTTGCTTGTGGTCTCTGTGATTCGCATGAGATGGGCGCATCAACCGCAGGCCTTGTAGTTGAGGCAAGACAATGGAGTATCAACTAGCGTGGTGTGGGTAGCCTCATACTGTTCATCATTTCACCTAGCCGAGAATGCCCGCTTGCAAGTTTGGTAGCACAAGCATGAGAATTACGTCACAGCTTTGACTACTGTCATCTCAGCTCCGCTTTGTATGGCATAGAGGCGGAACGCTCCGAAGGCTGTTGTATGCCGCTACATTCGCTATTCGCTTCAACGACGGGGACAGAGGCCTACCTCATCGGGAAAGGTACACTGAGCGTAAAAGGCCTGTGGATACCAGGCTCAAGATATACAACTTCCCGAAAAGCTGGGATCATGCAGGTGAACATGATAGCGAAAGACTGAAGCCGGCGGCTAGCTCCCGTGTGGCTGTTATGGCTGCGGAATCTTAAATCAGATCATAAATGGTGAACTCACTGCATGCAGCATGCGAGGATGGATGTTTTTGTCCAAAGAAATTGATGATTGTATGCAGGGGCTGTGACAAAAGCGGTACAAGCCCGTGATGTGGGTCCAACTTCGATAACGTTTCTTCTATGAAACATTTTGATATCACTGTGTGCAATGATCAATCCGAGTCTCTTGCAGTAAAATAGGCGCGTCTGCGTGAAGTAATCGTTCTCTCCGGCCGGTACCACCACCCACATTGGTTGTTATGCCGCCCTCGACCATGCCATTCACCATTCTTATGATGAAAGACGACGATGTCGCGCGAAAGAACAGCGTCTACAAGGCTATGTCGCAACTTGTATTGGCCCGGCCGACTTGTCCGATATGGCCTCCTCTGCGACATGCCAGAGTCTTGAGATGGAAAAGCTCATATACATATCCCGACTGGTATGATGTGCGTGAAACATCCCTCGCTTTTCATCGTAAATGGGAAGCCAGAGTGCTTCCTCAACTTCATCAAAATAATGCACGTGACCATGCCGAAACATCAAGTTACAAATGGGTATAAAACAGCTAGCAGTCGCTGGCAAGAACATGAGCAATACAGGCATTGATACTGGCGTACAGTCACTCCGTGTCATAAAAAAAGGCCAAGTGTCTCGTTGAAGATGTTTGTATTCTGTAGATCGTCGCCATATGAGTCCGACGGACACGAAACTCTTGATGCAGGGTTCAACATGTTTGGTCACCCGATCGCATGGTTGGATCACTGATTACGGTGGGCACAATGATGAGCATATAGGTATCAAATCGAGAAGACAGGTGACGCCTACCAGTCTCACACGGACATCCCCCTGCATGACTGGCGCAGATGCCTCTGCAACGAGTCCATCCTCGCAAACTTGTGATCACAACGAGGGCATATGCGCGAAATGCTGCCCAAGTGGACCGTCGCGATGTGCTTGCCGTAGCCCTCGTAGAGCATCTCCTTGCCGCACGGAACTCCATATGCTGACCATTGGCAGAGACCTCGGCTTCGATCGTCCCATAAATTGATGACATCATCGAAATGATATTCTTTGAGGTGCCGGCTGAGACCGGAAGGGGTGCAATCTTGTAGTGGGTACCCGCAGGGGCCCCAAAGACATTGTTGAATCGCCTCTGTCGTATCTAGCATCGCGGCCGTCATTCCAACAGGTTGTAGGACACGAGGCTGCCAATGTCCGTTTTGTGGGACATGGTATTCGTGACCTTGATACGGGAAGATTGGGGGCGGCGGCACAGTGTTCTGTCCGTATATGGTCGTATCCGGATAGTTCCTACTGGGTTTCAGATATCAGCTCGCAACTATTACTGCCATACTCAGCGATGAACTGACGTTGCAAATCCGAATGATGTTTGGGACGAATTATAGACTTCCCGTGTAACAACCTGGTGGGTGTGCTCATCCCATGTCTGAGGCGAAGCTGGGAGGATATTCTGGCTAACAAGGGTTGAGTCGGGCACATGTTAGATGATTGAAATGGGCTTACTGGGCGAACATCTTCGGACTGGCGGAATGCTAGCGGTTGACCAGCGTGACGGTGAAAGCATCTCACAAGTCGACCCTCTATATACCGGCATCAATTGTGGACAACCACGGCTGATCGTTTCTCCAAGAGGCCCTGACAGTTATCGGCGAGCGTAAAGGAGACAACTAAGGGAATCCCTGACATTGTCCATCTGCTTCGAACGAACGCGGGAATGAGCCAGGAATATGGAACTGAGATCCTCGATCCGTGGCGGTCGCAAAATCACAATACTCACCGAGGATGAGTATTTGAAATCCACACTGCTTATAAGGCTAAGTGAGAGAAACAGAGGCTGGTCGAAGGAAATCCAGGATATGGCAGGTTGTACAGTTGAATGGGTATTTTTCACAGTGAAGTAGCAGGAAGCACAGGTTAATGACGCCTGCGGGCACAACCCTCTCTAGAATCGAACTCGCAGGGACCACACAAGCTGTGAGCTCTCTAGCGTTTGTCCTCCCGACTTAGCAATTCCAAACCGTCTAAATTGACAGATCAGCGGAAATTTCGGATGAGCTACAGGCCCGTACTTACGGGGTCCCAAGCACCTAGGGCAGGTCCTGGAGGTATCTAGTAGACCCCCATCGGGGCGGTGGGAAATGGGTCTAACGAACACCATCCCCAGGGGGAGATCAGGGCCTATATCCCGATATGGATATAGGCATGTGCCTGATCGCACCCTCGAGGCGGGTTAGACGCCCGCCCGCCCTCCTTGGGACACTCCTCCGCCGTACCTTAGGACGCTCCACCATCCCCAGCCTCTGTGTACCCTCGCCATATTTGTACCTGTCTACATCTTGATGCCATGTCTTTGCTATTTCAAATTAGCTCCTATGCTCTCTCGCCTGGCTATATTCTCGCTTTCACCATGCCGCCACCTAGTACTCTCCAGATCGGCGACGACCTGCTCCCATGTCCTGCGACACCCCCCCGATCGCAGCCACCGAGGACGCGCGATAACCAGAAGGTCATCCCCCGCACAGGGGCGCACTTTTTGACCCCCAAAAACGTCGGCTCGGGGGCAAAAAAGATCAGG